GAACGTGTGAAGCAACTGCGATATGAGTATGTGCAGGTAAGCTATAGTGTCATTGGTTCTGAATTTCGAAGTGCATAGGCTACTGTAGTGCTGTGTATGGGCCTGATGTGTTGCATTTGTTTTGTCTTGTCCAGAGAGTAATGGAGCTGGAGGCAGATGCCATGGGACACGAGCTGCTCTTTGTCGATGAGGCAGGTTTTAACCTCAGTAAAACAAGGAGGCGTGGTAGGAACATTATTGGACACCGTGCAATAATCAATGTCCCAGGACAACGTGGTGGTAACATCACCATGTGTGCAGCTATCAGCCAAAATGGTGTTGTTCACCATCATGCAACCATTGGCCCATATAACTCTGCACACATGATTGCATTCCTGGACACCTTACACGACATTCTCACTGTTCAGAGACCAGAGCAGACCCGATATGTTATCATATGGGACAATGTTAGTTTCCATAGGGCTGCTTTGGTCCGCAACTGGTTTACCGATCACCCACTCTTCATGGCACTCAACCTCCCCCCATACTCTCCATTCTTAAATCCGATTGAAGAGTTCTTTTCTGCCTGGCGCTGGAAAGTCCACGACCGCCATCCCCATCAACACGCAGCCCTTTTACAGGCAATGGAGGAGGCATGTGGAGATATTGAGCAGGCATCATGTCAGGCCTGGATACGGCATGCAAGGAGGTATTTTCCCCGGTGCCTTGGACTGGAGGACATCGCATGCGATGTAGATGAGATTTTGTGGCCGGACCCAGAGAGACGGCATGATGTAGGCTGATTGTCTTTTTTTTGTGAATTTATTATTTTGTGTTCTGTGCTGTGTCTTTGTTTTGACGAGTGTGAATAAACACCAATACTTGAAGTTTGGATCCCTGTGTGTTTACAGAACTATGACAAAAGTATGACCTCAAACTGACCGAGCCTACCTTGTGCACAGAGAAAGCAAAAGCCAGATGTGTTTTGTATTCATACCATCAGTGTGTAGTTGGCACATTATGTGCTTAGTAAATGATGGCATGTGTTTACTGTTTGATACGAAAACACCATTTTTACTAAGGTGTGAAGAGTTAATCAAGCTGTGTTCGCTTTTGCAAGAGAACTATAACGTTTTGATAATTTGGTGAAAGGTTTTCTCATTTGTGTGTAGAGTTTAGCAAAAATAGCCAATGTTGCAAAAAATGTGCTTAAGCATTCAGAAAAAACTGTAAGAGATAATATCTAGTATTTTCTGTACTGTATTGTACTGTACTGTATTTTTTTTTTACTATAATTGTAACCTGTACTGGATACAATATTTTATGTTTGTCTGATATTTGCTGAGCTTACAATGTTATGCACACTACTGTAGTAGCATACAAACTGGGACATGTTTTGTTGTGATTCTCCATGTTGACATGTTGACTGATTTGGCTATATGGAGAGAAATAAATGATAGTTTCATCAGTCTGCAGCATTGGTCTTGTGTAGTGTTTGGTGAATTTATTGTATATTTGCACTTTCTCTGTGTACTTCACTTACCGTGCCCTAATCACTGAGAAGTATAATTGATAAAAGTGTTTTAGGTTAAGCACAGCAGTGTATAACTGGTTCAAACAGAATTATGAAACATGTTTGTTTCATATGGTAACAAAATATGTTTTCTATAAATTACTGTATTGTTTTTACAAGAGTGTTTCATTTTGCAATGGATCTAAGGTATTCTGCTGATTGGATGTGTGGTTGTGCTAATTGTGTGTAGTGTTTTGAAAAACTGGGCCCTGTTTTCCAAATCGTGCTTAAGCGATCCAAAAAACTGTAATGAACATCACTTTGTGCAGCTGGAAGACACAGAGCTGAAATAAACATGTAACATGAACACACACACATACATGCTCTCATACTTGAGAGTAATAAGGGGAAGAGTTAATGAGTCTAACTAGCCAATAAGAATCAGCTTTATTCAATTCTGCCTGGACACTGCGTTTGTAGCACTTGCCTGTTTGTGTGCGTGTGTGTGTATATGTGTGTATGTGTGTGTGTGTGTGTGTGTGTAAACATAACTAAGGTTTGGATGGTGGTGAACCCTTACAAATATAGGATGAAGGCCAGCAGGATTGAGGTGCAAGCGTGATGGAGAACAGAATCAGTCACACAAGGATTGGTTTCAGAGCTCTGAGTTTGGTTTACTGGTGACCATAGGCAAATTACACAAAACAAAAAAGTCCAACAGCTCTTACATACTGTATATGTAGCCGAATGGCTTGACAACAGAAGCAGTCTGGCTGGTGTAGCAGGTCGCAGTGAATGGCAGCAGTGACATTCAACCTGACCCCCCTTCTCTGACACAAAAACCCCTCTACCCACTCCCCTCTCTCTTTCCTACCCCCTTGGTACAGCCTGATAAGGTAATTGACACCTGCTGAGTCTGGTGGCTGCATTCCCATGTGTGCACTCCATGAAAACACACCCCTCAGAAGTAGACCTCAAAGAGAGAGTGGTTAGTAGGGGTTCCCAAAATAAAAGCACAACATAAAAAAATGAACTTCCTGTATTAGCCAATGGGTATTGTTTTTCACCTTAGTAAGGGGGATGCTTGCCAGCTCCCTCACAATAACAGAGATCAAAGAGCCTCTTAACGAGCTGGTTCGAACACCTGTATCTTGCTGGAAGACACAGAACAGGACTGACAGAGATATGAGTGTTATTTTGGCTCGGCAAGTCTCTTAAACAACTGCTATCTGTAAAAAATGGTAACTCCTATCAGAACCATGAGCAGACCATGACCGGCACAAGACCTTCGTGCACAGCATATCTGGTTTTGGTGTTTGTAGAGCCAGAAATTTGGACAAAGGAGCGAGTTACAGAAAAATGTCACTTCTGCATTTTTGGGGAAATTAGCTCCTGAATTTGTATTGCAGTTAATGGGAGAGGTGGAGGGGACTCCCATTATTTTCAGGCTCATGTTCAAATTCTGTAAGTCTCTGTGCTAAGGTAGACACATTGTATGAAACAGGACAAATCTTTCTACTATTGAGGAAGCCATGACGTGTGAAGATTGAACTATGTGGCCGAGTTAAACAGAATTTTTTCACAGGGGTTCTAGAGCTTCTCCCACTCTAGCGATGATGTCATCCACTCTAGCCTCGAACATTCTATGCAATACACACCCATTATAAACAAAAGAAAAAAGCTTGAAAGGTTGAATGAAATCTGTAGCTGAAAGTATGCTGAAGTAGTTAAAGTTTAAAAAAGGTGAGGTTTTCAAGGGTTTGAACATGGTCTCCATTCCATTCAAGAATTTCATAAAAAGCTTAATATTTCAAAAAATCATACATAATATCAAAAAGATGAATACACTGGATAATCTACAGAAAAAGCCGAATGTTTTGATAGTTGAATGGTATTTGTAGCACAAAAACCATAGGAGGAGTTAGATGCCAAAAAGCGTATAAAGAATAATAATAAAGATTTAAATAACAATAGTGGGGATCCTGACTTAGCATTCACACTAATGATAACAGGCAAACATGCTGGGGGAAACATTTTGGAAGCTCCACAGTCACTAACACAATATCTGAAAAATGTTGCAACAATTATTACAGAGTTTTCAAGGAGCTGTCCATCAGCACTACATAAAACTGCAATAGGCTAATTAACAAATAAATTATCACAAATTATATAACGTATCATTCAACAAATGAGAAATAAATCGATCAGCCTACAAACAAACATAAAACAATTGTAGGTCTACATATGCTGTAAATTCAGTTCCTGAACCTTTGGAAAGTACTACCCCCGACCAGGTACCTTTTTGGGGGTCGATCAGTTACCCTGGAACTAAATTTAAACCCTGGTTCCTGTGGTGGAAACGCACATTTCCTCCAAAGGTTCCTGGTTCCTGGGGAAAGTTCCTGTGATAGAAACATGGCTTTAGTCACTCTGTCTGGCGAATGGGTTTTCTATCCAATTATACTGCACATCTGGGATGGGAAAGTATTCGCACAGTTTAGTCTTTGGTCACAAAATCTGAAAGATTTTTAAACAAGTCATAATTTGACAGATGTACTTGCTTAGCCCACAGGTCCAGTTTTCTAATGGTTGCTTGGACTTTAATCTGGACAGTCAGAGTCAGTCAGATTCTTTCAGTCCTTCTGAATTCTCCTTCACATCTTTCCTCCATCATGATCTTTTCCACTGAGGTCGAGGAGAAGTGGTTAGAGAGGACATTATTTTGACTTTTCCACCAGCAACTGAGTGAACTGAGTGGATTGTAATTTCCACCAGGTGACGCTCTTGTAACTACCAGTGAAATGTCAAAATAAAAGTGAAATGTGTAAAAAGTGATTCATGTGGTGTCATAAAACGCTGTTGTTATTCTGTCAGGCCAAGATTTTTTCTGGTCAATAAAGCAGCAGTGGTGCAACACGTTTCTGTTCTCCACAGATCATAAACCTTTAAATACACTCTTTTGTTTACAGACCAGTCTCATCAGGAGGAGGCTGAGCAAAGCTTCTTCTTCGTCTTCTGCTTAATTTAGCAGCAGCTAAAAGTTAGACCAGTCCCAGCCTGGTCAGATGCGTACACGAACTGATGAAGCCTCTTGGATGAGAGGTGAAACGTCTTCCCAGACAAATAATCAAGTCCAGTTGCGTTTTGATTTAAAACTCCTTTAGGATACCATGACCTGGACAATGAGAATATGCACAGGCTTAGCAGCAGCTGGCTTCTACACATGTAGCATCACTGCCACCCACTGGAAACAGTTCGGTCCTCCTGTATAAGAGAACACTAGTATGTCTCCAACCTCCAAAAAGTTGACGTATATGGTGTGACTTGGACATTAGAGACATAGATAGAAATTACTGTGCAGTTATTACTGCGTTGTCTTTAAGGACTTGACATTTTTTTGTGAATAGTTGAGAGGCCAGACCTGAGACCTGACAGAGCTGCAGTGTCCTATGGGGGCAGCATAACGCGGATCAGCCTCTGAACCACGGAACCGTGCGTCAGAAGAAGAAGGGGGAGGAGGGAGGGCAGAGCGTCCTCCATCTTCTGCGATACCACAGCTTCAGACCTAACACCTGACCAAACGACAAACATCGGCCATCATGGGAGCCGTTCTGGGACTGTGCTCTATGGCGAGCTGGGTGAGTACACCGCCTCAACAGCGACGCTGCTCGCGGCTGATGTCGTGTCTGTGTCTGCACTCAGCTCCGTCCTCTCTAGAGGCCGCCGTGACTGCGCAGTAACACGGTTAGGCCGCGGCGGAGGACCGTAAACACGACGTCACGACAGGGAGCCTCGGCTCACTGTAGCTCGGCTATAGCCCAACACAAAGGCTTCAGGGACACCAGTGGAGCCTTGACCTGCTCCGGTGGGTGGTGAAGTTACCGCGGGACTACACGACCTGCCTTTGTCTGGATGAGCCGGGTCACCACTCCGGTTCATTTGACTCCGGCTCCATCCCGATCGGTCCTGTGTTTGACGCATAGCCGCTCAATGTGCGGCATTGCTGAATGTATACGGGGTTGTTTGCGTAAACACGCTGCTTTATATCATTTCAATAACAACAACCACAACCAGCCCAGGCACGAGGTCACTGTTGCGACACCGCAGCCTGTAAACAGAGTTAGGTATCAGCTGTGGTCAGCAGGCCCCGCCCCATCTGTCACTGGCCCCAGCCAGGGGCCTTATTTATAACCACTGCCTACGTACTGAACAACAGACCCTGGAAGATGCGTGCGCCACTTGCTCAGAAGTCGCGGATTAGAAAAACAAATGACGGAGAATTTGCGCAACGGTGCAGAAACTCTAACATAAACTCTGACTACCAACACTGACGCGACGCAGACGCTGAGGGAGGAGAAATTAAGGCAGGTCATAGACATGAAATCTGATGATAACACTTATGTCACTGAGACATACGTCATCACAAACATCCAGACAAACATTGAGATTCATCAACGGGTTGCACTCTGTTTTCTCACACAGGTCCCAGCTTCAGAACTAACTCTCCCCCCATGTCTGTGCAGATCCCGTGCCTGTGCGGCAGCGCCCCCTGCTTGCTGTGTCGATGCTGCCCCAGTGGGAATAACTCCACGGTGACTCGGCTCATCTACGCCTTCTTCCTGCTGCTGGGAGTGGGTATCGCCTGCATTATGTTGATGCCTGGCATGGAGACCCAGCTGAAGAAGGTACACAGGCTCCTACTGGGGTTTCATCACTTTATTGATACTGGTATTGGATCCCTGTGCTGGGAGCCTGTGCTTTTTGTGTTTTATTGTTTTGTTACACACATGTTCATTTATGAAACCAAAACCTTGCTTGTTAGAAATATGAACTTTATATATATGCTTTATGCCATATGTTAATGATATATATTCAAGTTTGTTAACACAACATACATATAAAAATTCTATGTTTACATATGTTTTTCTTGTTAACATCTCATTAATTTTAAACATGTCTCTTCTCGTTCTGGAAAGGTGGTCTCAGACTTTTGGACCCTCCTGTTTATAATATCAACATATATTGACAGGCTTTGGGATGGATATATATGTGTGTAACACATGTCTACAATATAAGCATACATACATAAACATACATGTTTGTGTGGGCTAGACATATATGTCAGTATATGAAATTATTCCAGTGTCTAATGGGTTTCATATATAATTTTGACATGTGTTTTTATTTTTTCTATATATATATAACATTTTATATATGGAATTTCAATATATGTATATATATTACATTTGCATATGATGCAATAATAGACCCACATGATTTGTTTGAGAGATGCTTAATAACAAAGTACATTACTGTAGAGATGAGACACAGTGGACACAGTCTTTACTGTGCTGTTACTGATCTGATTTGAACACAGCGGTTCTTACAGTCTGATTTGCTGTAATGTTGAAGATTATAACTGTGACTTTAAGACTCCACAGTCAGAACGCTTGTTGTAGAGGTCCACACTCATCAGTGAAATGCTGCCTCACTTTGGCTTTAGTGAAGTGAAAGATCCTTGTTTAAAACAGGTAGTCTGTCAGTCAGAATGCAAATTATAAAATGACAGTCAGGGTGGTCGTACTTTTCTCCAGGTGAAAGGGATAAAGGGACCCAGTATAGTGCAGGTGCTTCAGTGAACTGTTACAGTCCATACAGTATCTTGCTTTTTTAACTAAAGCTGTTAATAAATGTAGTGGAGTAGAAAAAACAATATTTCCCTCTGAAAAGAGTGGAAGTGTAAACTAGCATAAAATGGAAATACTCAAGTTAAGTAGAAGTACCTCAAAATTATACTTGAATTCCTGAATTACTGAGTGAAAACAGAGGGGGTGTCTATTATAGAAGCTATTATCAAAAACGTAACACACTAGCTTAACCCTCACAGACACACAAAAGACTATTAACATGAAAAAATGAACTCTCTATTGAGTTACTATAGTTACAGTGACACTCTGAAACGTTTTCATGATTCAATAACAGGTTTTTTGGTTAGTATGCCTTTACAAAATCATGAATGTGATTTTGCCTCAATACTGAAATCTATTGATATAATGTAACATTTTTGGTGAACATGATTAATCAAACAGGAAGCAGAGCCTCCTCCATGAAGAAATATAATTATATATGTTAAACAGGCTTTTCTCTGCACACACGATAAAGTCTGAACATCAGAGCACAGTTTGTCTGCATTACAATAGTCCTTGATCTGAGATAATGTAGGTTAAAAGATCTGCTGATGAAGTTATGATTATTGATTCCTGTATAACATTACAACTACAGCAGCTAGTGATGCTTAGCTGACACTAGAACCTGTGAGTAAAATAAAAAGGTGATATTAGATAGTTTTTATGATTCCAGAGTGTTTTACTTTGTTGTTAGACTTTGAAGATGACCTTGTGAGTGTTGAGAATAACAACCCCCAGGTTTAACATTGTTTAACCAGGTTTAATCATCCAAATCATACTGTGATGTGTTGTAAGACTATTTCATTGATATAAATTATGTGTAGTTTGTGCTTGAAGATGGTCTAATAGTCTCAGGGCTGATAGCGCTCCGGCGCCACGCCGTGTTTCAGGCGTACCGAGGTGTTTGCGAAAAAAAAAAAAAATCAGGTTCAGGTTCGCGTGATCTGACAATTCCCAAGATCCGAGAGGCGCTTTCACTCTAAACCACACCTGTAGGCATAGCCTACTTAAGCCAATCGGTAATAGGGGAGGGGGTGGTCTTGGGTTTTGGCCAATCAGATTGATTCAGCAGTCACCCCACGTGCGAATGTGTTGTGTGTTTCCCATACACTACAAATGTGTTTCCCACACTGGCAGCGCGAAACATAGCCAAAGTCATGGAGTGCAACTTTATGAAGCCAGGGGAAGACGCCAAACTTGTCGATAAAGGTATAAAGAATAAATGGCGTTGGTCTTGGATAGAGGAGGTGGGTAGAGACGGAAAGCCCTTTGGAAGCTGGTGTCAAAAACTCTGGCAACCAGGAGCATGTTTCTGCACTTTGTGTGCAAGGAAAATATTATATGGAACTAGCAGGAAAAAGTGCTGCCACGGCACGAGTTCTGACGTATTCATCAAGCAGCTTTACGAGCAATTCAACAGCCACAGCAGATATCCGACCCTCAATGACCGATCGCGTGGCTGATTTTAAAATTCGCTTGTGCTCCTTCATTGCCGAGTATGATCTATCGTTTACAATCGCTCATCCATCGTCACTTTGTTCAGAAATTAGTGGAGGATAAACTCGCCTTACGCATCTGTCTGTCTCGAGGCAGCATGCAAGCATGCTATCTTATTACACACGGCATCTCACCAGAATTTAAAAGAAATCTGTGACAAGCTTGAGAATAAAATGTTTTCACTCACATTGATGAGGCCACGACAAAAGCATGGATAAAATTCTAAATGTCTTGTCCGATTTTATGACGAGGATGCAGGCAGTGTGAAAAGTTGTTTAGTGAGTCCCCTCCATGTAAAAGCGTTTGGGTATCTTGAAAAGCGCTATAAAATCAATGTTCATTCTTCATTCATTCATTCATTCAATTCCTAGTTTACTTTTGAGTATTATAATTGTCACCCACTGACCTTTCTTGGTATGGCTGTAGTATCTGTAGTCTCAGTATGCTATACAAGCAATAAGTACGCAGGTAAGTGACTAGTTAAAAGCAGGGATGGATTACTGAACAGGCCTACCAGGCCCAGGGTCCCAAGAGCTCTGGTGCTCTACACAAAGATGCTCCTGTAATATAGGCTTGTATTGTGTTTGTTCATCTCATGTCTGAATAATGTACATTTGTATCCACAAAAGTCATCAGAATATTCAATTCAATGGACTATTTATCAAAATGTCCCAGGGGAGCACACCCCTGGATCCCGCTTGACAATTGCGTTGATCGGGGCATATATCTTAGCTTCGGGGCCCGCTTACCTCCCAGGGAAAAAAGTTCAGGCTCAGGATTTTTTTTACTATTACCCCTGTAGTCTGCAAACTACTACTATTTATGATACATTGTGTATTTATAAATAATTTCAACTATGAAACAGCCAGTCCTCTAATAATCACTTCCTGATCCTGTTATAAACTGTTGTCAATGCATTCTTGGTTTTCACAGCACCTCGGTCTAACTAATCCAGACTAGTGGGGGCTGTTACTTCACTTAATCCAAGAGGTCCAGTGGTGTAAAAGTGCAGGAAACCTGTCTTAAAATCACAGTATTTTTTCTGAGGGAGGACCCCCAGACCCCCCACCAATTATGTATCTTTCCAGGTTTGCTCCCCCATTTTAAAACGTAACCAGGCTTCCATCTTAATGCATTACCATCACAACAGAACAGTAACCCTGATCACCGTGTACCAAATAACGTCTGTGATGATGTAAAACACTTAATTGTATGACCAAACTGTCTGAGTGAGATGGGGCCCTTCAGAAAGACAAAGACTCCCCCTTGAGACGGGTTAATCCCAAATTAACCCATCTCAAACTAGAGTTTATTAAAGTACAAAAGTTATCATGGTCATATACACGAAAATGCGACTGTCCCCCTTTTTATTTCATAGATAAAAACATTGAATATTTTAAAGATTTATTTACCGCCAAACTGGAAATGTCACCGGTTTTCATTTCAGAAATCTGGTCACTTTAAGCCAATATTAGCGTTTAAATGTAGATACTTGACACAATCTAAATCAACAACCCTGAAAGTAAGAAATTAAAGTGTGTTAAACAAGCTAACAAGTGTGTTAACCCCCCCCCATAATTCAAACCCTGCTTTCAGGCCTTGAGAAGTTTTCCCAAAAGCCATCAGAGTTGGATGTAGACCAGCTCTCAGTGGGTACAGCTCACACTGATGCAGCTTCTCAGCCTCTGCTCTGTGCTGCTGCAGATTCCAGGCTTCTGTGAAGGAGGGATGGGTTCGTCCATTCCTGGCGTGGAGGGTCATGTGAACTGTGACGTGCTGGTTGGCTACAAGGCTGTGTACCGTGTCTGCTTTGGGATGGCCATGTTCTTCCTGCTCTTCTCTCTGCTCATGATCAAAGTGAAGAGCAGCCAGGACCCCCGAGCCGCGCTGCACAATGGGTGAGTCTGCGTCTGTCTACCTGTCGCAGACACTGATATGCTGATGTGTTAACCCTTTATACTAAGCCACATGACAAAAATCAGCAGCAGCATTTATATTAATCGTATTGTGTTGTTCAAACCTTTGACCTTCTGTTGGCTCTGACAGTGTCTGATCATCAGTCCAAAGATGTTCAGTCTACAGTGACACAGAAATTTTGTCTCACACTGGAGACTTTTGTCTTGATAAATGACTTGAATGATTAATCCTTTATCTAAATTGCTAGTCGTTGATTTTCTGATGATCGACTAATAAGAGTTTAATCCAGACACCGATGTTAGAAGGGTTCAGCACTAATAATTTTAGACTGTGTGTCTCTCCTCCAGATTTTGGTTCTTTAAGTTTGCTGCAGCTGCTGCCATCACCATCGGGTCATTTTTCATCTCAGAGGGTCCCTTCACTACTGGTAACTATTCCTGTCCACCGTTGTCTTCTAAATGAAATCCATTGTAGCTGCAGAGTCTATAGTTGTGTGTGGTAAATGAGGACTGTGGATCCCTTACAGAGATGACAACATCAGTAATAGATAAGGGAGGGGCTGGGAGCCGAGCTGCTGCTGATATCTGCTTAGCTTGTCTCCAACAGAAGTTATGAAACACAAGTGAAAATATTTTTTCTAGGATCATTTTTCTAAGTTAGTTTTTCTTCATCTGTGGAGGTGGAAGGTGGAAATAAACAACATTACATTACATAACTAACTAACACACATTGTGTTAACCTGTTAAAACCTGTCATCCCGTGTTTGGGGAGAAATTCACTTGGAAGGAAACAGTCCTGTTTAGACTGGGGTAGTCGTGCACTTCAGCCTCTTGTGGTTGAAATGAGTATTACAACAACAAACACTATGACAAAAAAATACTTTTCACTTGCCTTTCAGGGCTTCCATAAGATCCAGACGTCCGATGACTAAAATCCTTCATCTGGTTCAAATATAGAGGTGAAAACCACCAATGTGTAAAAAGTGTATGTGGCTTAAAACTAGATAAAAGTCAATGTTGAGCTTCTGTCAGACAAACACAACACTGACACATGATCATAGAGGATATGATGTCATTGACAGGAGACCAATGAAAAGTTACCATGATTAAAATCACAGATTTCTCTGGTTTGAGAATTAATGGAAAGATCTGTGATAATGTAAGAACACAACTCAACAACATATAGAACATAGGTCTACTTGTTTTTACACATTTTAATGTGGAACAGTTAGAGATTAGAACTTTAGGAATGAGGACAACATTAAAAAAGAATTCAGTCTTTTAATGTGTGAATCACCAAATACCTGGTGTTTACTGGATGTGTGCCTTCAGTCTGGTTTTGAATTCAGTTTGAGGTGGCAGTAACAAGCTTTTAAATGACTAGAGTGTTGTACAGTTAAGCAGAAAACTGTTCTCCCTCACAGTGTGGTTCTATGTTGGCATGGCTGGAGCCTTCTGCTTCATCCTCATCCAGCTGGTTCTACTCATCGACTTTGCCCACTCCTGGAACGAGTCCTGGGTGGAGAAGATGGAGGAGGGCAACTCTCGCTGCTGGTATGCAGGTACGGAGACAGTGTCATTATGAGGCTGGACATATGGATGAACACTAGATTAATAACAACGTTCAAAGAGCCCTGTGTTATTTACAAACTGGTGTGCACGGCTGGAGAGGTAGTGGAAAACTGTAGTGAAGTAGAAGTAAAATTACTTGTGTCAAAATATTCTCAGATACAAAATACGTCAGTTAAAATGCTCTCTGAGTAAATGTTACCGTGTTACATTTTTAAAAGGGATAAAAATAACGTGATAAAACTATTACAAAGAACATCTTTAGACTGCAGGTGTATGTTGGTATTTTCCCTGGTGAGAACTACACCGAAAGCAACCAGAAAATTCCAGTAGGCTCTTTGCAGCATGTGGATACAACTGATGAATGTACATATACACTCAGTTGTCAGTTTATTAGGAACACCTAGCTAAAGCTAATGCAGTCTAATACAACAGTACAATAATTGTAATGTTATTAATTGTTGTAGAGTTGTTGATTCACCTGTGTGATCAGTGTGGAGGATGTAGTGTGTGTAACTGTTGAGCGGTGTTACAGTACATTGACAGGTGTTTCTGTTATTTAGTCTACCTTCTTTAATGGAACAAAATGATATAAACACTAGGACACAGCAGTCCATAGACTTTATGTAGAAATATGAAGATACATAAATCAAACAGCTGCTGCTTCTTATAAAATTAACAGCAGAACAAAGCAACAGATAAAAACATAAACTCCACAGCGGCTGCAGCTGACAAACACAAAATGCTACATTGCAAGGCAACACAGTAGTTGTTGATGCTGATCCAATCAGCAGTGTCTTCTCTGCTGCAGCTGCTGATTTGACTCTTTTCATCTGTTACATCATTGCACAGTGAATCACCTGCATCATGTGATCTTTGTTTTAACTGTAACGAATTCAACTTTAAATGTAGCAAAGTGAAATACTTGAGTTAAGAAATAATGAAGTACAAGTAAAGATTTTTAAAAATACTCCAAAAAGTATAAGTAAACATAAAATGACTTTCTTGCAGTAACAAGAGTAAATGTGTGTCATTATCTCCACCTCTGTGTGATGTGATGATATAAAGTGGAGAACACAGAGGGTATGAAGCCGTTTTACCAGCCATTTTTACTGTTCAGCATGAAATGATGCGCTGGCAACAAGTGGCAGCAAGTCAGCGTAGCTCCTAGTTTTTTGCAATATATTAGTATAGTTTTTGTTGATTGATGTTTTTTATTCTACGTTGTTGTTTCATCTGACGATGGAGAAAATAATGTACACAAAGGGAGATCTCCTGGCTTTAAAGTTTACCAGATATGGAGTTAAACATCCCATACCGGCTGAGCTTAAGAAGCCATACCGTGGATGCAGAGCTGGGGCTAAGCTAAAGGCTAGGAGATGGAGATATAAGCCTTTTCTACCATCGATCCTCATGGGAAATGTCAACTCCCTGGTAGGGATGGGCGATATGGCCAAAAATCCATATCACGATATACACAGCAGCCTCTTGCGATAACGATATGTATCACGATACATAGATTATATAATAGAATCATTTCAGAACAGGTTACATAGACCCTGAGGAAACTAAACTGCTAAATATATTTAAAAAAGAAAACATAGAACACAGTATGTAGACATACAACATTTATTGTGCCCCACTGTAATCATACAGTATTCTGTAAACATAAATGTTGCACATTTAAAACTGGTCTTTTTTAAAGAACATACACTGTACTGAACATATTTTCAGTATAAGGCAAAGACAATCTTCTGTGTAATGACAGATACTATACTTTCATAGATACCAAACTTTCTTACCTGCATGGATACTGTGAATTAGGCAAGGCTATTTTTATAAAGAAAATTATTCACTGGTGTCTTTTTAAAGAACAGACACTGTACTGAAACTACTTTCAGTATACTTTCATAGATACTAAACTTTCTTACCTGAACAGGTACTATGAATTAGGATAACACTTCCCGTATTAGGCATATGGCTATTTTAAATAAAGAAAGGTATTCCAAGTGTAGTGCACGTATACTTCAAATGAAAACATAAAAGTGCAAAATGAAAACAATCATTTTTTTTGAATAAATAAAATACTTCCAGTATAAGGCACATATATGTAAACTAAAGAGCATTTTTCAAGTATAAAGGTTTCTTTACAGTAGTGCCATGCCATGAACAGTAAAAAGTGCAAACAGTGCAGAAGGCACAAAATGTAGGACAAAAATGATGCAAAGAACAGAAAATCTGGTGTCTTCTCAGTGAAAAATACTGAAATCCTTAAGACCATAAAAAATATGTAAATTTTACACCACCTTAAAGCTTTCGATCTCAGCTATTGTATAGTAAGATACAACATTATACACAACATAAATCTTAAAGCCGGGAACTCACTGAGACTTTGTGTTTACACCATTTGTCATTTGTTAGACCCTAAAGATTATTCGCCAGGAACACAAGCTTGTCCACAGTCTCTGGTTTCAACAGAGACCGGTGGCATGTAACTACGTTGCCCCCTGTGCTAAATGCCGTTTCAGAAGGAGCACTTGTGGCCGGGATACAGAGATATTTCTGGGCCAGTTTTGCCACCCTGGGAAAATTAGCTTTGTATAGCCGCCACCAGTCCAGTGGGTCAGTCTCTCCATCAACCAGCGTTGTCTGCAGGTAACTTTTTTAGCTCTACTTCGATGACCTTTCTGTCAGCGAGAGCAGCTGTGTGTGTGCCATCAGAGGCCTTTTTGAAGAAGCTTCCCAGGCTCCGTTTCACCCTCTTTGATTCTCACTCAACAGCTACTTCAGCAGCTTCGGCACCATCAGCTGCAGCTGCAGCTTCTGTGCTTGTGTGTTGCTCTGACCATTGCAGCTTGTACCTCCACCAGTGACTGAATTTCTGCTACTGCTCTGGTCTTGATGAACATCTGGCGGTCATCAGCTATGTATGTATCTTTAAACCGTGGGTCGACCAACGAGGCCACATCCAGCAGGTCAACCGTTTATGGGTCTGAGTACTTCTCATTTAAGTACTCTAGGATGATTCTTTTCATGTTCTTGGTCAGCTCTCTGTCATCATCAGCTGCCGCAAGAACGGTGGTGTTGAAAAGGTGGAGAACAGGTTTAACGTAGGACACGCTGACGTACTGTTCCCCAGACAGCGTGTCGGTGAACTCAAGCAATGGGCCGAGGGTCTTGCTCATGGATTCCAGGACATCTGTATCCTGCCAAGTGGGGACCAGGTGTCTTGTCTTCCTGTCTGCCTTGAGAACCTGTGAGAGGGCCCTCTCCTGCCCAAGGACCCTCTGGATCATCATCTGGCGTGACCCCCACCTTGTGGGTGTTTCTGTGATGAGACGCTGTAAGGGAAGATTGTGCTCTAACTGGGCTTTCTTCAGTGCTTTTCTTTTCCAAGAGTGGGAAAAGGAACTCACAATCTTCTTGCATAAGGCAACAGCACGGTCGATTCAGGGGTCTTTCACACTTTTTTCTGTTGACAAATAAAATATTAGTTAATTTCATCTCTCTCACTCACTCACACACACACACACACACACACACACACACACACACACACACACACACACACACACACAAAAACACACACCTTAATGCTTGATTAGGATTGAATGAACATTACTTAACACAAATGCTACATTTAAAAAATAGCATAGTGCAACCTAACAGAGGCAAAGTCTACATCTCTAAACACAAATGCAACATTACTATGCAGTATTATAGGCAAATATTACAGTATGATGTTAAAATATTATAATATTATGCACAAAATGTTTTAACCTACCGATGGCGAGGTGCAACCTGTGCCCAAAGCATTGCAGCCTGGTCCAATCATTTACAGACGTTGCTTTGACCACGTTCGATCCATTGTCCGTGGTGATGCACACTTGGCGTTCTTCTTTCATACCCCATGACTCGAGTGCATCCTTGAGTCCTTGTGATATCTCCTCGGCCGTATGTTCAGTAGGGAAGCACGATGTCTGCAAACACCAGCTGCCAAGATTCCAATCGTCCGTTATATAGTGAACGGTCAGGCTGAGGAAAGGGTCCATGGTACGGCTCGACCACAGGTCCGTTGTAGTGGCAAAGTATTTCAAGTCACACAGCTCTTTTTCAACCTTTTCACGGAGCTCGGCGTACAACCTTGGCATCTCTGTGTCTGAAAAGTATTTGCGGCTAGGCAGCTTGTATCGTGGATCAATAGCTCTGATCATGGCTTTAAAGCCACGTTTCTCTACCGTTTGAAAAGGGACCATGTCCTTACACAAGTAAACAGTAATGGCCCTTGTAATTTTGTTCCATTGCGCGCTCTTCCGACTGTAAGGAGTACCTTTTGAAAATGACTGTTGGATGGAGGACTGTATCAGTTCCTGTTGTTTCTTTCCCGCGTTCTTGCGACTGGAGCTTGGGTTTGTCTGCATCCGCTGGCACTCTTCGTATTCGATAGCATGTTTAGCTTTTAGGTGGTAGAAGAGATTTGTTGTGTTGCCGGTCTTAGCTAGAACAGTTCCTCCACACACTCTACAGAGAATGGTTTTCTGCTCCACGTCGGACGGTTTGAATCCGAACCAATTCCAAATAATGGACGTTGCACCGGTCTTTTTAATCAGTTCTACCCGCTCCGTTTCGCCTTCAGCCATGTTGTTTACCAAATGAGAGGATGCATGCGTGCGTTGTAGCCAAGAAGATAAATGTTGGTTTCACAGATGAAATTTACAACTGCAGCCGCAACATTAGTTTGTCTGAATGTAAAGTGAAGCTTCATGTTTTTACTGGACTGAACAACAGCGTTTCCTCTGGGGCTGCAACATGTTATAAGTATATATAACACAATCTAAATAAATATAAATGTATTTAAATAAACAGATCAGTCTATATTGAATTTCGTTTTATGTTATTAAGTAAGACATAAGTTTGGGGTTTTATTATATCTACATTACAGAATGAATAACATCATTTAGTGCATCTCTCCGATCATGAGGTTATTTTTTATGAGGAAAAAAAGGTGTCAGTGGAGCAGTAAAATCGCCACTAAGGTACACCCAGTATGCCTTGTGATTGCATGATCAACATGCGTTATCGTGATAGGGGATATAATGCAAATCTCTATCGTAGGCCATTTTTTTATCGTTTATATCGTATATCATTTATATCGCGCATTCCTACTCCCTGGCTAACAAGTGTGATGAACTGGAGGCACTTGTGAAGAACCAGCCAGCATATCGTGAGTGTGGTCTCACATGTTTCACGGAGACCTGGTTAAATGACACTCTCGACTGTTGTGTGGATTTACCCGGCTTCACTGCAGTATGAGCGGACAGAGAATCTGGAGCAAGTGGAAAGAATAAAGGTGGAGGACTGGTTCTGCTTGTGAACAATAGATGGTGCAACCCTGGTCACATCACAGTGAAGGAGAAGATCTGCTGTTGAGATATTGAACTGTTGGCAATTGGTCTTAGACCGTACTATGTACCGAGGGAGTTCTCACACATCGTCGCCATTGTTGTTTACATTGAACCACAAGCAGAGTTGCTAGAGTACAGACCCAGCACCCTGATGCATTTATTGCAATATCGGGGGATTTTAACCATGTCACTCTCACCTGACTGGCTTCAATCAGTATGTTGACTGTCCCACAAGGGAAAATAAGACACTTGATCTGTTGTATGCAAATGTCAAGGAGGCCTACACAGGTTCAGCTCTACCACCACTTGGCAGATCAGATCTTAATCTGTTTTTTCTTCAGCCTTCCTACAAGCCCTGTGTACTGAGGCAGGCTGCAAACACTCGCTCATTCAGGGACTGGACCCCGGAGGCCAGTGAGTCTCTAAAAGACTGTTTTAGTGCACAGATTGGGATGTACTGTTGGAGTCAAAGCAAAAGCAAGGACCCTGACCTTGATAGAATGGTTGAATGTACCACGGACTTCATTAAATTCTGTATGGACACTGTAATACCAGCAAGGACTGTACACTGCTTTTAAAACAAAAACCCTGGATCACCAGTGACATCAAGAACCTCCTCAACCAGAAAAATGAGACCTTCATGGATGGAGACAGGGAGAAGCTCAGGTGTGTGCAACATGAGCTGAAGAGGAGATTAAAGCAGGTGAAGGAGGACTACGAAAAGAACGTAGAGAGGAAGCTGCAGCTCAACAACACCAGAGAGGTGTGGAAGGGGATGAGGACCATCACTGGCTATAAAGAGAAGAACAGCCAGCCTCACCTGTTCTCTCTCCCACTGCTTCAGCTGCAACTTCTACTACAGCATCTCCTTCACAACCTGACACTGCAGCTGAAACTCCCTCCACACTGGGGTCAAGTCTCCTGTCCTTTACAATGGAGGAGGTGAGGGTGGAGCTCAAGAGGCTACGTCCTGGAAAGGCAGCAGGCCCAGATGGTATGTGTCCGAGGCTGTTAAATGACTGTGCAGCCCAGCTGGCTAAGCCTTTCCAGAGGATCTTTAACTTAAGCCTTCACACAGGGAGGGTCCTGGTCCTGTGGAAAACATCATGTCTTGTTCGGGTACCTAAAGTAGGACGACCGGCTGAGATAAATGACTAAGGACCGGTGGCCATCACATCACACATCATGAAGCCCCTGGAGCCGCTGCTTCTCCACCTTCTGAGGCCACAGGTTGAACATGCACCAGACCCCCTACAGTTCGACTACAAAGAACATCGGAGTAGATGATGCCATCCTTTACATGCTCCACCGGGCCCATTCTTACTTGGATGAGCCAGGTAGTTACATGAGGATTGTGTTCTTTGATTTTTCAAGTCCATTTAACCCCATCCAACCCCAATTCTTAAAGACAAGCTGGAAGGGATGGGGGTGGAGCCCTGCTTCACGTCCTGGATTGTGGATTACCTGACAAGCCGACCACAGTACATCAGGCTGGGTAACTGTGTTTCAGGAACAGTGATGAGCAGCACTGGGGCTCCACAGGGGACTGTTCTGCCTCTGTTCCTGTCCACCCTGTATACAGCAGTCTTTAAATACAACTCTGAGTCCCGCCACATCCAGAAATACTCGGATGACACAGCTATTGTGGTGCGTATCAGGAATGGGCAGTAAAAGGAGTACAGGGTTCTGACGATGGCCTTCAGTGAATGGAGCAACAAGAACTGCCTCCTTCTTAACACCTCCAAGACCAAGGAGATGGTCTTTCGGAGGTGTAGGCCCACCCTTCAGCCAGTCAACATTCAAGGGAAGGACATTGTGGTAGTGCACACTTATAAATAACTAGGTGTACACCTTGACAGTAAACTGGACAGGTCCCTGAACAGGGATGCCATCTACCTGAAGGGGCAGAGCCGGCTCTTTTTCCTTAGGAATCTCAGGTCCTTTGATGTCTGCAGTGATATACTGCACGTTTTATCAGTCAGTGGTGGCCAGTGTACTCTTTAATGCTGCAGTCTGCTGGGGCAGCAGCATGTCAGACATGAACACAAAGAGACTGGACAAGCTGGTAAAAGAGGCTGGGTCTGTCCTTGGCAGGAGTCTGGACTCACTCAAGACTGTTGTGGAGAGACGCATGCAATGTAAGATGGAGGCCATCTTAGACAATACCAACCATCCTCTCCACAGCATTCTGGCAGGACAGAGAAGCAGCTACAGCTGCAGCAAACTTCTCATCTCACTGCGCTGCAGAACAGAGAGGTTCAGGAGATCCTTTGTTCCCACTGCCATCAGGCTATACAGCACCTCAGCCAAAGGATGTGGACTAATCTAATTATTAGTGCCACGGGTGCTCAGCTCCGAGGCACTCCTCTACAGCTAGAATAGCTAGGCATCTCTTAATATTCCTTCGGGCTTATTATTATTCTTCCGCCAAATTTTGGCGCGTAACTCGTCCCGCAGCTTTGAGAAAACCCCGGTAATATATACATCAAAATGTGCGTCTTGATCCCGAAAGAGGTGCTATGACTTTTGGTGTTAAAATTCCAATTTTTCCCAAAGTTATTCCCAAAATACTGGGAATAAATAATGCATTAGGAATGCATTGGAATTTTCTTTAAAAACCCACAAAATTTCACCTTTTTTCTACAAAATTTCACCTTTTTTCTGAGTCACCCAGCTCTCTCATACCTGCACGTAGAAATGTGCAAACAATAAAACTATAAACTAAACTATAAAACGGAGGAAAACTTCTGCTCTCTCCAAAACACAACAACTGTTTTTACATAACATGTAAACTTTTCAAACTATGAGCACTCAAAGGAGGAGTGGAAATCACTTTTTCTTCAAAGTTAGAGTGACAGCGTCAGTTGGCTAGAGTGCGTGAAGCAGTAAAAAATAACCTTTATTTTTATTTTTAACTCGAGCTCACGGCCAAACCGTAAAAAGGAGACAAATAATTCTTTCTGAAAATGTAGACATAGTTGTTGGGATTCATAAAATGTAACTTTGACAGGCAGGGTCTGCACAAAATTTAAACGGGGGTGCCGAGTCCGGCAGCAATACCTGTCTCACTCTCATTGACACCTAATGTAATCGTCTTTTTTTTTCAAAAGAATCTCACTCTGTCTTCGCACTGAGCTTACTCACTCATTTTAAGGAATATCTGAATAAAATAGAGACTGTAAGAAACTTCTGGCTTCAGTGTCTGTCACGGTGTTTTCGGTTTTTGAAAAGAAGTAACGGTTTTCTCATAATTTGCAATTGTTTTAAGCCATGTAGAAGCCAAATTCTGGGCAGATTTTCACATTGCCATGGCAACGGCAGCTCCTGACCTGTGTGCGTGTGTGCGTGCCTAGCAACCAGATAACCAACTCTCCAAGCTCCGCTAGCTTTACATTAGCCGCATGTTAGGTCTTAAATTACATTTAGTTAGGTCTTAAATATGTAAGTCCATTTACTGCTTCCTTTGTTGCTTTTCTTTTTGTTTTGTTAAATGAGTGAATGAAGTTGTGACGGTCTCCGCTGAGACAGAGGAGAGGAGAAGCTACTAGCCCTCTCTCGCTGTCACTTCTAGTCGCGTTGCTCTCCTCCCCAGTAATGTTAAATTTAGCACCGAAAAAAACATAATAGTGGTAATTTAAATAGCGGTTCATGGGATTTATTAACCCTCAGGGGTCCCTCTGTCCTTTTTTGGACATTTTCTTCACTTTTCTTTTTTGATTTGCTGATCATTTTGGCTGTGTTACAGCTGAAGGTATGGATTTCTGCAAGAAAGTGTCTTTTTTGACATATTTTTAAAATCTAATGTCAGTTACTGTTACAGGTCTATTATATACTGGTAACACATTTTGTACCCTCTGGGGTTCCTCGCGTCCAAAAAAGGACACACAAAGAAAATGCTATAAAATCATATATCAATATTTTTTCTGCTTTTTTTTGCATACATCTCTTAAACCACTTCAGTTCTGCTCAAACCTACCAAATGTTTATTAGTTTTCAGGATTTTAACCCTTTAAATGCCAGTTTGAAGACATGTTGCCTCTTGTTTTATTAAAAAAAACAACACAGTATATGAGATATTTCCCACATAATACATGATGGAGGGATGTGACATTGTTTTATATCAGAGTCTTTTATATCAAGACATTTCTCAAAACCAGAATATGATCAGGCTGACTTTTGAACACTGGAAATAAATCATGTACTCATCCCGGCAGTAGCCCCCGTGGCACTCAAAATTTCCCTGGAATTTTCTAGTTGTTATTATTATTATTATTATCAACAATGAGCTAATGGACACATGAATTTCCCCTAGGGGATAAATAAAGTATCTCTCTATCTCTCTATCGATCTATCTTTACTATGAAATATAATTACAGTCAGTATTTCAGTATTGAATGTGTATTTATTCATGTCAGGAAGAGATCGCCTCCAACACGCCCTGAAAATAAGAGACAGGATAATGTGCAGTCTATTCATGCATACAGGATCCAATCAGAACGTCTCAAAGCCTATCCTGTCTTTTTGTGAGGAATGTAGTGTATGTGATTAAGTTGTGCTGTGTGTTCACAGCTCTGCTATCCGTCACCACGGTGAACTACCTGCTGTCTTTGGTGTCTCTGGTCATGTTCTACGTCTACTACACCCACTCTGACGGCTGCACTGAGAACAAGGTCTTCATCAGCATCAACATGCTCCTTTGCTTGGCTGCCTCCGTCTTGTCCATCCTGCCTCAGATCCAGGTTAACACCACTTCTTTCTTACATCCATGTTCGAGCAGAGATGAGCTCACAACAGAGAGATAACCAGATGTCTTCGACTGTACAGATCACACAGAGGTGTGAGGGTTATGATTGAGGAGTACGACCTGCATCTCATAATATATAGTGTTCATATACAAACTGTTGTCTGTGGTCTTAAATGAATGTTCCTCCTAATGAATGTTCCTACTAATGCCTGCTGTTCTCTGGGTGAAGGAGTCCCAGCCCAGGTCTGGCCTGTTGCAGTCCTCCCTGGTTACCCTGTACACCATGTACCTGACCTGGTCTGCCATGACCAATGAGCCTGGTAAGATGACATTTATACTAAATATAGAGCTTCTATCCTTTCCCCTGGCCCAGGTATGTAAGCAGTGATGTAGCTCCCTGTGCTGCCTTCACCCTGAGCTGTTTGCAATGTGAGTTCATCAAAGGTGTCACTCACAAAGAAGCCAGAAACCAGGTTACACAGGAAATCAGACAAGGCACTGTAGTTACTTTGTGTGTGTGTGAGTGCGTGAGTGCGTGCGTGCATATTTGTACTGTTTCCTTTTCTGGTATAAACACTGACCTTGTTGGGACCCACTAGTCCTCATAGGGACCAAAGCCTGGTCCTAAGGTTAAGGTCAGGGTTTGTGTTAGACTGTCCACAATGAATGGAAGTTAATCATGAATTTCAGTTTTTACTTTTTCATAAATTAAAAAAAAAATTAAATTCAGTATTGACTCATTCTTGGGTAATAGTGCAGACTAATGATGCTGCAACATAACAACATGTGAGGAAAGTGGAGGGGTCTGAAGACTTAACCTTCAGAAGTTTAAGAAGATGTCGGAGCCACACAACAGCTGCATTGCCTTGTTTTCTTCCTGTTTCTGTTGTTATGATGAGATCCAGTTGCAGTCTGGGTTAATGATGTTCATCGTTACTGTCCATGAGCTCTGTGACATGAGAAGATAATAAAGGTCTTGTGTTGGATACAGTTAACAGGTCTACAGCAACACCATGATTAGAGGTGCACAATTCAGAAAATGCCAGGATTTGATTCAAAATCGATGGTAATAGGTCATATAGTATATTACGGTATATATTTCATATATGATGATGAGGTGTAGTGAATTTTGTTTAAGTACTGGAGCTCACCTAGGATGTGTGCTGTTGAAGAAAATTCACTCAAGTCCTTAGTTCTAAGTTTGCTGTAGTGATGTGAGTTTATTGGTATCCCAGCTGACACAGAGCAGGTCTGAGGCAGTAGATGAATCAGCTAGTAAGGTAAGGGTATTGTAAGATAGTGAGGAATTTAGCAATACAACAGAAGAGGGCACTGTATGCAGACAGACAGGCGTCAAGTCCCAACTACCCAAATGTGTATTTTCTTCCTCAGTGCACACCATTAAGTTGTGTCTCGTTTCTGAGCTTATTTAACCACTGTTCCTATGGTGACAAGTTTACATAGATCAGTCAACTATGATCACATGATCAGACTGACTTTATGAACAGTTTCATCATGTTGAGAATATGACACAGAATCAGACAAACATCCAGCTCAGTAATATTAGACCATTCAATGGATGTAGCAGGTTGTAATTAGTGTAGCATTAAGCAACAGGTGAATGAAAACAAATAGCTTGTGTTTTTGAATGATTTCATTTACTGACTTGAGTCGAGCAAATTAAGCCACATCGGAAACATCCATTCAGAGGAGAAGCTGTAGTGCAAGCAGAGGTCAAGTTAAGGTAACAGGCTAGGCTATGAGAACGAGGCTGAGTTAGCTTTCATTTCCATCAGCACAAGCTGTAAGAGACTGACTGTAATGTTTCTGTGTAAAAGCATCACGGATAAAGAAACTGTCAGAAGAGTGAATGATGAATGAAAGGCTGTTTTCTGTCTTTTCATCTTTACTAATTAACCATTTAATTCACTGAGCAGCTCAGAGGCTTTCGGCAGCTACCAGCATCTTTTAAGGTGGAATGTTTTCCTGCGTGTTACTCAATGCATGATTGATGTTTGAAAATCAATCAATACCCCTTAAATGTCAATATGACAACTTTGACCATTTCATTTGTTTTTATTAGCTCTCTACATGACAGACTCTTTAGTGATGCTCAGATCTTCCATATAAAGCTGCAGATAACATGGGTCTGATCAAGCTGCTTCTCCTCGAGGTTATAAAATCTGAAATGTGTCCAAATGCCTTCTTCACTGAAGATGGAGCAGGTTGAATGACTTTTTCCTTTTTTATTTAGTATCTGGGCAGAAACCGACACGCTGCCATCTATAGGACTAGTGAGCTTAAACTCTTGTCAAGAAAAAATGTCAACCAGCGCTGTTACAACACTGAAAAATATGATCAATTTTTTGGAATTCATGAATTGATTTTGAATCTGTAGATAGAATCACAATTATAATGTGAATCAATTTTTTTTTTTTGCAGACCTCTACTAATGATCATGCAGTGAAACTAGCAGTAAGTTTGTTTTCATTGTGTCTCACAGACAGAAAATGTAACCCGAGTCTTCTGGGTATTATTGGGCTGAACAGCACCAGTCCTGCAGGTCGGGACCAAGTGGTTCAGTGGTGGGATGCCCAGGGAATTGTGGGATTGATCCTCTTCCTCATGTGTGTCCTCTACTCCAGGTGAGGAAGTGCTTTATTACATCAGTTGGAGAACCAACCTGCTGACAGTTGGGGCATCAAATGACTCTCTGTCTTTTCTTTTGTTTCTGGATCAGCATTCGTAATTCATCCAACGCCCAGGTGAACAAGCTGACTCTGACCAGCGACGAGTCGGCTCTGATCGAGGACGGGCCTCAGAACGACAGCTTCGAGGAGGGTGGCGCTCTCAACAGAGCTGTGGACAATGAGAAGGACGGCGTCACCTACTCCTACTCTTTCTTCCACTTCATGCTGTTCCTGGCATCACTCTACATCATGATGACTCTCACCAACTGGTACAGGTAGGCCTCACACTGCAAGCAGCTGACACACAGCCAGTCCGTTTGTTCTTATTGTCAACAAATCAGATGAAAGTAGTTCACACATCACACAGGTTTTAGTAAGACAGAATAGATCAGTGTGCTGATCAGTTATCAGATCATTGGCTGATACAGGACATCTGGAGGGAGCTCAGAGTAGAGCTGCTGCTCCTTCACATCAAAAGGAGCCAGTTGATGTGGTTCAGTCACCTTGTTAGGATGCCTCCTGGGCGCTGGGTATGTCCAACTGGGAAGAGAACCCGGGGTGGACCCAGAACTCGCTGGAGGGATTTTATATCCCATCTGGCCTGGGAATGCATTTGGATCCCCCAGGAGGGGCTGGAAAACGTCGCTGGAGAGAGGGATGTCAGGAATACCCTGGTTATCCTGCTGCGGCAGTGACCCGACACTGAATAAGTGGAGGAAGACAGATGGATGACTATTACAGTTTTAGAAGAGTGATCTAATATTTAATAGTCCACATTTAATCCTCTTACTTTGTTGTACTTTTGATGTGGCAGTCTTCATTTCTATCAGGTTTCTATGCATAACTTCTTCTGTTTACTTTTGATTTAATACATGTAGGTGGTGGAGGGCAGACATGTCTCTATAGGGTTAATGGCAGGTCACTGTTCTAACAGAAGCACATACAGTGGGGCAAGAAAGTATTTAGTCAGCCACCAATTGTGCAAGTTCTCCCACTTAAAAAGATGAGAGGCCTCTAATTTTCATCATAGGTATACCTCAACTCTAAGAGACAAAATGAGAAAAAAAAAAATCCAGAAAATCACATTGTCTGATTTTTAAAGAATTTATTTGCAAATTACACAGACTTTCAACTCCCTCCAAAGATTTTCTATGGGGTTGAGATCTGGAGACTGGCTAGGCCACTCCAGGACCTTGAAATGCTTCTTACGAAGCCACTCCTTCGTTGCCCGGGCGGTGTGATTGGGATCATTGTCATGCTGAAAGACCCAGACACGTTTCATCTTCAGTGCCCTTGCTGATGGAAGGAGGTTTTCACTCTAAATCTCACGATACATGGCCCCATTCATTCTTTCCTTTACACGGATCAGTCGTCCTGGTCCCTTTGCAGAAAAACAGCCCCAAAGCATGATGTTTCCACCCCCATGCTTCACAGTAGGTATGGTGTTCTTTGGATGCAACTCAGCATTCTTTCTCCTCCAAACACAACAAGTTGAGCTTTTACCAAAAAGTTCTATTTTGGTTTCATCTGACCATATGATATTCTCCCAATCCTCTTCTGGATCATCCAAATGCTCTCTAGCAAACTTCAGACGGGCCTGGACATGTACTGGCTTAAGCAGGGGGACACGTCTGGCACTGCAGGATTTGAGTCCCTGGCAGCGTAGTGTGTTACTGATGGTAGCCTTTGTTACTTTGGTCCCAGCTCTATGCAGGTCATGCACTAGGTCCCCCCGTGTGGTTCTGGGATTTTTGCTCACCGTTCTTGTGATCATTTTGACCCCACGGGGTGAGATCTTGCATGGAGCCCCAGATCGAGGGAGATTATCAGTGGACTTGTATGTCTTCCATTTTTTAATAATTGCTCCCACAGTTGATTTCTTCACACCAAGCTGCTTACCTATTGCAGATTCAGTCTTCCCAGCCTGGTGCAGGTCTACAATTTTGTTTCTGGTGTCCTTTGACAGCTCTTTGGTCTTGGCCATAGTGGAGTTTGGAGTGTGACTGTTTGAGGTTGTGGACAGGTGTCTTTTATACTGATAACGAGTTCAAACAGGTGCCATTAATACAGGTAACGAGTGGAGGACAGAGGAACCTCTTAAAGAAGAAGTTACAGGTCTGTGAGAGCCAGAAATCTTGCTTGTTTGTAGGTGACCAAATACTTATTTTACCGAGGAATTTACCAATTAATTCATTAAAAATCCTACAATGTGATTTCCTGGATTCTTTCCCCCCATTCTGTCTCTCATAGTTGAAGTGTACCTATGATGAAAATTACAGGCCTCTCTCATCTTTTTAAGTGGGAGAACTTGCACAATTGGTGGCTGACTAAATACGTTTTTGCCCCACTGTAGAAGAGTGTAGAAGAGAGACTACAGCTCGGCCTCCTGGTCTCAGCTCTGGCTTGTCATGGCCTTGGCTTTCTAAGAAACTCAGTCAGATTTCTACATATTAGAACAGCTCCATCCAGTGTCTTCTAATCATACCAGGGACCAGATTCACAAATGATGCGTACACACAAAAACCATGCGTACATCATTTCTCGCACATAAAATGGTATTTATAAACACCTGGTTTTCCAAAGTGACCCAAGTTACAGTGAAAATCCAAAATAAGAGACACGTAATTTAACATAAAATAAAATAACCAACTTCACAGAGCTTCATTCATTCAGTTTTACCATTTACACAGCAATAACAATTTTACAGGTAATACACATAAATAATTGTGTTTGTGCTCATTCATCATCGTTTAATATCCTTATTATTTATTGTGAGTCATTCTGTAACTGTTTAGTAAATATTCAAATAGTATCAATCACAGTGTCAGAGCCTCTGGAGCCTCATTAAGACTCTCTGGTCCCAATAAATGAAGTTCAGAGTAAAACAGGACTTTAGTACAATTAGAATGATTGTACTAATCATTCAGAATGATTGTACTAAAGTAAACATGCACGTTTTTCCCTCAGTTTCACAATCAGTGAAGCTGTTATTCTTCTTGTCTTTCTTCTCTGTGTCTGATGGTGTAGACAAACTGATGGACTAAGGGAGTGTCTTCATCTAGTTATAGCTAATTGTGGGAGTGGAAATGTGGCTCGAATTTCTCAATGAGTGAGATTTATGAAGCAAAACCATGTGTACACACGGCTTTATAACTCTGAGGAAAAGCATGTGTGCTAATATTTCTGGTTTTGTGCGTACTAAGAGTTTTAGTCATGAATCTACACAGTTTTATGCATCTGACCTCTGGTGTCCCCCAGAAAGTCACTTATCTAGAGCCCACATCGTTGCTGGACACAGCCTGGATTTAACATTGACATATGGCTGTACATGTCATCACTGCTCAGGTTAGGCAAGAGGCCAGAAAAAACTACAGAACCCGATATCATCTTTGCATATGTGCACACTGATTCCACATTAATCTTAGTGACCTCCGATTGCCGTAATCACATGTGAATATTAATGATTTCCTGGAAAAGCCTCATACTTCACTGTGATTGGCTCAGCTGTTTCACAGCAATGAGACCACTGATGTGATTGGTCAAGAGTGAGTTTATTAATCACCACACCCTCTGATCTGTATTCACTTTCAGTCAGCCATTTTGCACTTTGCACTGCTGTACATACATGACCCAGAATTACAGGTGGAGATGTCCACAACCTTCCACTTTGTGCTTGTTGTGGCTCTTTCTTTCAGTTATTAAATACAGCTTTTGAATATTGTAACTTATGTTTTTGGAATCCAGAGTGGTTGCAGCAGAGTATGACTGTCAGCTGATGTGTGTCTCTGTTGTGTGTTTCTCCTTGCAGCCCTGACTCCAACTATGAGGCCATGACCAGTAAGTGGCCGTCAGTGTGGGTGAAGATCTCATCCAGCTGGATCTGCATCGCCCTCTACGTGTGGACACTGGTGGCTCCGCTGGTCCTGGTCAACAGAGACTTTGACTGAAACACACTCATACACACATTTATGCTCACACACACATTCATACTCTGCTTCACCTGTGTTTTGTTTCGGCAAAGTCAGTTTAACAGTAGTTAGATAACCCTGCATCTGTTCCCGCTGTAAGGGGCGCGGCTGCACTCAGACTGGCTGGAATATTTCAGACTTGTTTGTGGCTGTGGCTTGTATGCACAGACTGCAGGGTAGACGGCTGGAGAGCCAGCAAGAATGTTTGAATCTGTCCCGTCCCAGCTCTGACTGCAGCCTGGTCTCGTTCGGTGTACTGTCATTGTCCCCATGCTGTTGCCATTGTAGATATATCCTGTGTAATCCTTGTGAATGATTTTGTTTTTGTTATATACAGAAAGCTGCATGCTTTTCCTTGAGAACTTGATGTGACATTCAGTAGCTGTATATGAAGCTTTTATGAGGATGATGATAATGTTGATGATGCTTAAGTTACTGTGGTCACTGTGGGCAGCGACAGATGAACTTTTGTGGTAATACACGTGGAAATGCTGTTACATGTAAAATAAGGGAGAAGCTGCTGGGAGATGGATTTGAGTTGTGTACAAACAGGACTCCAGCTGTGGCAGGAGAGCAGCTCATTGTAGTTCACTAACTGGTACCATTATCAGGCATGAGCATTGCTGTGTAGCATTGTTTGTGGTATTACAGTTATCTGCTGTCATGTGCTCTACCAGCTGTGTGTTCACCCTGCACACTCCTCAGCACATACACAACAAAAGCAGCTTCTGATTTGCATTGAATTTTGACTTCAAATGTAAAATTGATTGTTTGAAAACTTCTAGTTATTTGGTAGTGTTTAGCCTTAGCATGTAGCTTCTCACAGACTTAGCAGAGATTGTGGTTATATATTTGTCTGATTTTCATCCCTGTGCTTTTATCCTAATATTTTTCTCCTGACATGTAAATTGTAACTCGTTTAATAAAACTGAGGAAAAAGAAGCCAAGTGTTTTGTTTCCTGACTCTGTGTAGCTGGGGCTGTGTTGTAAAGGCCACTGGACTTTCCTGAGGTTCTTGTAGACAACAGGCACTATGCAACATCTCATTAGAATTTATTAACTTTGTTTCTTGTTTCCAGAGGATCAATAGATTGTCTGGACTGGCACTTTGTGTCCTGACTGACATGGAGCCTCACAGTAGTGACTGGATGGTGTTCCAACATCCAGTGTGAGTGATGAGAAGCAATGACCCTCCAAATGAACAACAAATGAACATTGTAGCATCTGCTTTATTGTAACTGCAAGGGTTGCAAAAATGACAGACAAGTCATGTGACCTGTGTGAACATGCACAGCAGCCTATAAAGAGCATCTGAGGTCTGAAGTGTGGCTCTGTGGAGACAGGGTGCAGGCACTTCTATATCTGTGAGGAGAGAAGCTTCCCTTCATCACAACATCAGGAAACTGAGGCTGTTACTGTGAATTCAGCTCACACATCCTAGTTTTCTCCCAGTACTGTCTCAGACTGAACACACTCACAAAAAACTGAGGATGTGAACTTTGCTATGTATTACACTAAAACTGACCCAGATGTTCATGGTTTCCTGGGTAACAGCAAGTCTGAACATTTTATGTGCTCATTTCAACCTATCCAGCTCAGTGTTGCCATCTGTTACTCACTGTTGAAACTGCTAATCTTTGCATCACATCAACATTTCTTTTGTGTACAGGTAAGGGACAAAACAACACTTGAGTTTGCCTCATGAACCTGGTTCAGAATGGACTAAGAGTTTTCAGTTATGTTTCTACAGAAATCAGAGCTGGACAGAGTCATTTCAGATCAGTGTTGTGTTCTCAGATTGACACACAGATCTTACTGTTTACAGCCTCACTTCACATCTCCCCTACACTATCTGTCCCAGCTCCTCAAAATGATGCTTTCATTTACTGAATGTGACAAACTCACTTTGCCAAGTCAAAGAGAAGTGATCCCCAGCTGTCTGAAGGAATGTTGCTTTATGAAGATTCTAAGCTGTGTGGACAGACATGTAGCAAAAGATAAACGAAACTCAGAATAAACAGATTTTCAGGTGTATATATACATAGGTTCAGTGTGTTTGAGAATGTCTCCTCACTGATGTTGTAGGAGCAGATGTGATGCACTGTTTCACTGATGAAGATATTGAGGAGCAAAGGCTAATGTCTTCTTCTGTCTATGGCCAGGACGGGAGAGAGATAAAGCTGTGTGGATTGGGTCATGTGATTACACCAGCCACAGTTTGTGTCATTTTTACATCTGAGACCTTTGCATTGAAGAAAACGTCCTAAAGTAAAGTCCTCTTACCTGGTTTCATTTTCAGACATGCTTGCCTGCTTCTGCTCAGGTGTCACTCTAAAGGCAGAACTAAAGAGTCAGTGGTATTATTCATCAAGTGCAGTAAATATCCGTGTATGAATGGATAGAGGAGAGAGTCAATGTTCTGGGGATCCAAGAACCTTGTAGATGAGCATTTGATTCACACCCACTTCACATTGTGATTGGCCAGCTGTGCTGACACAAGAAAGGAGCCAAAGGTTGAACTTAATTCTCAAGTGCTCTTTTCTCATTTGTTACTCAACTATTTGTGGCACTTTGATGTGAAAAATGACTGTCTCCCTGAAAGGACCATCGGAAAAAAAGTTATTTACAGTCCATCCTCAGTCTCACTTTAATCTGTTTCACCTTGTTGAATTTCACTTTATGATGTCACTATAACTGAATTCACCAGCAGGTATCAGCGTTTCTTCTCATATCATATTAATACTTGATTCATGGTTTTGACGATGTTGTTTATAATTAACAACTCTTCCTCTTTCACATGAGCGAGCTCGTATCTGGACAGGTAAACCAGAGTTAACTGAACCTGCTCCATAGTACAGGTTATCAGGACGGACAATGTTAGGCTCAGTTTAACCAGATAACTAAAAGTTATCCTGGTTATGTTGAACTTGCTTCATAGTCCAGACCTCAGGTCTGATATAAGGTGTAGGGTTACTGATGGTGCAGTCTGATGATGATGAGATAGGAGGTTTAGAGACATTTATTCTAATGGTCATTTATGATGGTAAAGGGTTAAAGGGTCATTAACCTGCCAGAGGTTGTTCCACTGTTATTATTGTATTTGATAAAAATGTTTCTGGAACTCAATGCAAAGTCTGACATGTGAAAATGTGAACATTGTACAAACTGCAGCTGTTCTTCCAGCAGCCTGGTGCTTTCTTCATTTCTCTTACTGCTTCACAACACACACGCACGCACGCACGCACCCTCAGGCCAGAGAGGTGAATGAATATTGGCGCACACTGTCAGTATAATGTGGAGAATGGTGGAATGCAGTCTGTGGTGAAGTTCCCTTGCTGCTCACACTCTGTCCAGCTGGGTGGAGTCGGCCTCCAGTCCAGCAGGACTCAGTTCACACAGATAGAAGAGTGTCTCCTCGCTGGCCTCGGCCTCTGTCAAAGGCTCCAGGCGGATCAGGGAGCTGCGTGCCGGCTGCTTCGACTCCAGGCTGGTGTCCAGCAGCTCCGAGGGTGGCTCAGTCTCCACAGAAGCACTGGAGCTGGAAGAGGGCTGGAGGTGGGTATAAGAGGAGCCAGTGCTGCCGCTGCTGCTACCTGTGCCCAGATCCAGCTCTGGAGGGGAGGTACAGCCATCAAGGAAGGCCAGAAGGGGACAGGAGGTGTACTGGATCAACTGCTTATCTGAACAAACACAAAGACATGGGAGGAAACTAATGCAGAGAATAATCACTATAATCAGCACGTCCCTAAAAGTATCACTTTGATTTATTGTCCCGACCTGCAGGGGAACTGTGGGACATAATATACACGGATGTGCGACTTTCTAAACTCTGTCTAACCAGCTTAGTTCACCACATTAAAGGGTCCAAAGACTTTTATAAATGAGACATTTCAATTGAAAAATGTCTACAAACATGTTTTCACTGTTATGTCTTATTGTAAGCATGTCTAAGTGTAGGCAGGAATTTTGAATGTCCTCCACTCACCTGTGTTTTCCTCTGTTCTGCCTCTGTTTAGCTGTGTGCTGTTCTCTTTGGAGGACACACTTTCCTAAAAACACATGAAGAAGAAATGACGACACTACACAAGCACACAAAAAACAGCCTAGATTTTTATAAATATACTTGTGAATTTAAGATTTACATTATTTCAGATTATGGATATGTGCACATTGTACTAATACTAATCTAATCTAAGTGCTAGTATGAGGCAGCAGTTATAGTTATAGAATATGTTACAGTACAGTATAGTCTCTATGCTCCTATGGACTCCCATAGGCTTGTTTCATCCTGTGTGTTCTGTGATTATTCATTCTTGTTCTGTTTCCGTGTTTCCAGCTGCTGTAATTTACCCTTACGGATGGATGAGGTAGACATACTGTCCTGTCTCTATATTCACCTCTCATAGTGCAGCTGCAAAAACTGCTCTCTGTGCTCTAAATCATGCTTCTACAAAAGCACTCACTGTCTGTGACTCTGAGGAACTAACAAATGATGATATGAACCTTGCAGATGATTCACAGTACTGAAATAAATGTGATTAGATGTGTTGTGTTACGTCTGAGCAGGTACTGATCAGGTGTGTACATGATGTCCTTTTACCTCTATGGCATCAAAGTCAATGCCAAACTGTTTCCCATAAAGCATGGCCTGGAAGTCCTCCAGACTGCAGTCAATACTGTCCAGATAGTCCATCAGCTCCACCCTGAAGAAATGAACGTGAATTAGTTCATTTTTGGAACTGAGAACTTAGTTCAAAATTTTTAAAAAAAGAACTATGAACATTTTCATCTGTATGAACTGAACTTTGAACTAGTTCTTTTTAAGTGTGAACTGGCACAACACTGTTGGGTTTTTGTCCCGGCACCTAACAGCAGTCAGCGTACCATTAGCTATGACATGGAGGTCTGTGTGACCCTACAAAGGATATGCCTCCCCAGACCATCAGTGACCCCCCTGCAGACTCTGTCACATGTGCTCAGTGTGAACCTGCTCTCAGCTGTGAAGAGAGCGGGGCGCCAATGGCCGACCTGCCAATTCTGGTGTTCTCTGGCAAATGCCAATCAAGCTGCAGGGTGCTGGGCTGTGAGCACAGGTCCCACTAGAGGATGTGGGGCCCTCATGTTTGGTCAGTTTGGTCAGAAACATGCACACCAGTAGTCTGCTGGAGGTCATGTTGTAGAGCTCTGGCAGTGCTCCTCCTGTTCCTCCTCACAAAAGGAGCAGATACCGGTCCTGCTGCTGGGTTGATGCCCTTCTACGACCTGTCCAGCTCTACGGCCCTGTCCACAGTTCATATTTGTATATTAAGACCATGGTCCATGTTCATCTTCAGCTCACTTCAGAAGAATGATACAGCTAGAACCATGGTTACACAGTAAGCCTTTAAAAGATGGTTCTAATCAGAAAGATAATACGGACTGAGGAGCTGTTTTTAATATCATGAACTCTAGTTGAGGTTGGCACTTACTTGCCCAGTAGGTTGATGTTTTGTGATATTGCTCCGTTCTCGTTCAGTATGGAGTCCATCATCTTGACGGGATCCTCCAGACTCAGGCCGGAGGGTTTATTGAGCTGCAGGGCGCTGCTGGTTGACCCGCTGCCATCTAGGCTGCCGCTCCTCTGGCTGTCGTCTGCCGCCGCCTCCTCTGTCTGTCGGATGTCATCTGTGCAGGTGGTGCTCACCTCCGTCTCAGCTGGCAGCACCGCACAGCTGTCCAACTCCACCTCCACAATTTCCACATCACTGAAGAAGGATATTTTCAAACAACATGACATAAGACAGATACTGCTGACAACTAACTTCCTTTACAGTCAACTGATTCCAGGTTCTCTAGTAAAGGACATTCACACAGCTTTACACATCTAATGGCCTACTTCTCCAAGATGCTTTGTGAATGTCAGTTTGATGTAGTAAATGTCCTGAATCCACACAGCAGACTATGTTCAGCCTTTCTCTAATGCACCTTAATACTACTGGATGTGCACCTTACTCGAAACTAAATGCACATCTAGAGCCTTTCTAACTACGAGTTTCAGCTGAGTTGACTAAATTGACATAGCAGAGGGGACAGCTTGCTTTGCTGAAAGCATGCTGTCAATTGACTGAGGACTGAGGTCACCCTGACCTGAGTGAGCAGCAGCCTGGCTTTTCACACCAGAAACTCATTTCTCTGCTGGTCAACAAGAAACTCTGCTCCTCTGCTCTCTCTTCATCACACGTACAGCTGATCTTTATAATAGCCTCATGAATTTATAACGTAGAGCTTCATATGTGGGCCTTGCTTCTTCTCAACAGTGAAGTTAAAAGGACCATCACCTTGTATACAGAGGGGCTTCTTCTGTATGGGTGTGTTCCTCTGTCTCACTCTCTTTTTAGACACTCGGACATCATCATCACCACTTTAACCTCTCTGTGTATTGGTATTTTTCAGTAGTTCATTTTAATCTTGTTGAGCGTCAACAATCGGTCAGAGAAAACATTGAAAACAAGCAACAGGCATCAGGCTCTCACTGTGGTTTGTGACTGTCACACACATCATCAAGCTAAACAGCAGTTCTTTGCTCAGCTGCTTGTGGCCGAAAAATGCTGACAACACGCTCTCCACTTGTCTCACAGCTGTTATCAGTATGTATGAAAGCAGCACAATAAGAGTCAGGTCTTACCCCTGCTCATAGGCCCTGGGTGAGCCCTCTGTGATCTCGGCCGTCACCTCGGCATCGTTCTCAGTCAGGTCACAGATGATGACGTCATCTGAGATCTCAGAGCCCTTCACACCATTCAGACTGTTGACAGACGACTAAACACAACACACAGTTACAACCTGGACTTCACATATTCAACATCATCTATTCAAAAACAAAACATAACCATGTGGGCTTAAAAAGTAACGTGTTTGCTGTGGGTAAATCTTCCCATGTTTCTGTCACTGGGTGCTGCTGCTCACTGACCTGTTCCACACACACTTTGTCATCATAGATCTGGTGAATGTATTTGGGCTTCTTTCCATTGCTGTTCATAAGAATGGGCCTGTCACACACACAGTGACACGCCAACATTTACAGTTCATATACATTATTAAATAATTCAATTCATTCAAGTAACATTGCTCATTACAGCTTTGACAATGATGGTTATTCAATTTCTTCATTTTATCATTCTAGATAAATGATCAATCATTTCATCAGAAACAATACACCAATCATCACAGAATATCTGATTGAGAAAATCATACTCATGAAATAAAGTTACACTTGAACATGTGTAGCAGTTAAAGGACGAGTCTTTTAAAAGGAGCAGTTCTCACCTTTTGCGTTTCAAATTCAGGATACGGTTGTTCTGTACCAGTGTGACGATGAACTGTATCAGCTGGAAAAACAACAGTCTCTGAGAATCAACAGAAAATGCAACTGGATCTGCAGCTTAGCTGACCGTAATGAATTAACACCTGCTGGCTGTGGCCACTTCTTTTCCAAACCTCATCAACCCAAAGCCACAAAAATGTTTATATGAACAAATAAAAAATTATGTTTCTAATCCTGTTTATACTGGAAAAATTGGGTCTATCAGAACACACTAATGGTAGAGATAATGAGCAGAAAGCTCTCATTCCATTTATCCTCACATATTCAAAGATAGTTCTCCTGAGAAGAATGCACTACTCACAAAAGCTAGCATGTGGAAACTGATGGAAACTGATGGGTTTGGTGTAGTGCTCACCTTTTTGATGAGCTGTTGCTGGTGGGCATGTTTCTGTCTCAGATCTGAGATTTCCCTCCACAGAGATTCATTCTCCCTAAACAACACACACATTTTATTTACAGTCAGAGAATGAACTGTATGACACCACAATGTCTCGTCTGACTTCCTGTTGTTTCTTTCTGATGTGGGAACTTGTCTCTGACGTGCTATCACAAAGGTGTTTCTCCACCCTGTGGGTCAGTGTTGCAGGAGTTGTTCTTTTTTAGTTAAGGTTTTTTTTTTTGTATTTTGGGGGCATTTTTATGCCTTTATGTGACGGGATAATGGAGACAGACAGGAAATAGGGGAGAGACATGCAGTGAAGTGTCCAGCCAGCTGGGGACCTGATGCTCAGGGCTCATTACACCCATATGGTATGCACCCTAGCCACTTGACCATCAGGTCGTCCTGAGCAGGAGTTCCTAATACTCTGTCCCACTCAGTGTGTCCTCCACTGTGTGACAGTTAAGATGTGAGGAATGATTAGTTCATGCTGTTGTAAAGATCAGAGGACACAGTTTGGTAATGCTTCTTAAATGGAAATAACAGGACTGAGTAACTGACTTCAGATGTTTCTCAAAATTCAACTAGGAATCAAATGACAGCTTGGTTTCTGGAACCTACTTTTGAACATGAAGACAGGGAACCAAGTGATGTTGATACATTTCAAAGCTCTGAATGGTGCAAAAAGACCACAATTTGTGTTTTGTTGTGGTTTAATTGCAGGCAACTATGAGACATCAAGGCACCACTGTATTTAACAGGTCAGATAATCAACCCTTGAGGAACTCCACAGGTCAGAGGAGACACTCAGTTCTTATTAGAGAAGTAGCAGGAAAAGTGCTTTACCAGATTTCCCAACGCACAAGTTAATAAAATATCATGATCTGTTGTGTCAAAAGCAGCACTTACACACAGCTGTCACCATGATTAGACTGCAACAAGCCCTCATTCATGACTCTGTGAGGACAGCTGTTTCTGTGCCTCTGATGGAATTTGTCTAAACTGAGGTTCAGCAGGGTTGGGATGTTTTATTCTCAGGGGACGTTGAATAGAAGGTGACCTTAAAGTAGCCAAGCACACAACCACAAGAAAGTAATTTATTGGTAACAGTGAGTAATGACAGGCCAATGGTGCTTAATACTTCACTGAAGAATTCAGATAAAATCAAGAAAACAGTGGGACAGAAATAAGGAGGACCCTCATCACCTCTATCATCAGCAATGTGAACCTGTACTAATGAGGGCCACACACACACCGAGGACTAGAACAGAACAAGCATTTGAAAATGAGGATAGAGATATATTATTAAAACTGTGAGAGTAAAGTGCACCTCAGGGCTAAAGGGTTGACTGACACACAAATAAAAAATAACATTTATGAGCTGAGATGTCACTTTACAGCGGCTGAATGTGTGCAGCGCGAAGAGCATGTCTCGGTCAAGAGCTGACACAACTGTGTCCTGTATAGGAATGGGTACCGAAACCCGGTATTAAATGGGCCCTGGGGTTAAATTTTTAAAGACAGCGTGAGTTCTGCTTTCGGTACTTGAGAAATTAAGAAAATAAGAAAATAGATTTCCTGTTTATTATTAAAAGTTCTCTTGCGCATTTTTTCATGGGTTTCCCCTAGGGGGTAAATAAAGTATCTTTCTATCTGATCGTTATGGGCACGTTCATAAATTCATATGTATAATCTGAACTGTTCAGAAATTCAGTCGGAGGGCAATGTTATGACAAAATAAGCAATGTTAATTTGCTCATTTTTTTCTTACAAAATGACAAAAAGTACCAATAAGAGTACACTTAAAGTACCAGAGCAATAAGTGGTATCGATACTGATACCATTAAAATCTTACCGTACCCATCCCTAGTCCTGTACTATCATCTACATGGAGATTAAAATCCATTGTTCGTGTGAGGGTGGATGACAGTCTACTAAGGTTTGTGCAGGGAAGAGAAATCCAGTGGGCATACCTCCACATGTTGCTGTATGTTAGGGACAAATATTCTCCTTGTCAACTAGTAGTCGTTCATTAGTCTACAAGACGTTGCGTGTTTATGGTATTAATGTAATTATTTAAATACATATTTTTAGGGGTGAAGAATGAGGCGGAACCAAAGACAGAGAAATATCTGACGGGGCAAGATATTTTCAGATTCATGAGTACTCTCAGACTCTGCACACAGTACAGACAGCCAGCCCACGCTGAATCATTGTCAGGGATTACCAATGAAACATCACAGGAACGTACTCTGAATATGAGGCTTTTCTTTCCCACGTTTCTACCACCTAACAAGAAAACATATTAAAAAAAAAGGAAATACTCATACTGTGTATTGTGCCAAGAGGCTTTGAAGAGACCAACAATCACACAAGAATCTCTTTTAGAAAACAAGCAAAAAAGAAAGTGTGCTACAAGATGTGTCATTATAAAACAAATTATCTTAAATTGAAAAGTGATCTAAGAAGAAATTTGACTTTTGACTCCAGTTCGGTACTGCACACCTTACCAAAGACCCACCAACCTCTGGAACATCTCCCTGTTGGACCAGGGGCTGGTTTCCCAAAGATATGTCAGACAGGTCTGTAGTGTTGGTCCAGTCTTGATGTTGCTCATAGATCAGTCTAATGTTAGTCATACTGTTTCACAAAAATAAAGACCGACTCATTTTAAGACAAAAACATTAGACTGCTTGTTATATCTAAGACACAGTCAGTCTGTCTTTGTGAAACTGGCTCCTGCAGTGATGTACATCACCTCAGTCCCACTCTGTGTACCATGATATCAGACCTCTTGTCTTTGAGCTATCAACTTCTTTAAAAGACAGTAATAATGTCATACCCTTGTTAAAGACATAACAAGTCCCTGAAAGAGAGACTCTATAGGGTCAGTCCACAGGCAGGTGACCTTTTCTGGACTGGGATGCCTCACACAGAGTTCCTGGTAGAGGCCACTGAGCTCATTTTGACAAAAAAATTTGCATGTCACCATCATGGCATTGTCGCTTACTGATGAATTCTCGACATGTGGCTTTTCTATGGTTGCTGGCCATGTTTTGGTCCTTGCTTTCACTATATTTTCTGGGATAATGTGTGCAGAGCTTTACTTTTACCTCTTGAGCGTTGCCAGCCTGGCATCGATGTTCTCCTGTTTGCTGTGAACACTGTGAACACTGGCCAAGATCTTAGTCAGGTCTTCCTGTCGAATCTTACTGTCCTCTGGCCGTGCGTTAGAAACCTGAAATTACAGTCACATCTTGGGTTTACAGTATCTCAATAGTAGAAGCATAAAAAGGAAGCAACACTGTCATCTACAGAATATTATGAATTTTGTTCAAGAAATTACATTAGCTGGTAAATGAGATAAAGAACCACATAGAGGCATCACAGTTCTTTTTTTCTTGACCAGTACTTCCTCCAAGTTAAGACATTTGTCTTAATACTGATTCATTTAATCGGAATCATGTTTTCTTTGTCTTATCTGATACCAGACCACTGGGCCGACAGAGGGCCACTGTCTCTACAGTTCTTATGAAGATTTGATCAGAGTGTTTCCCAGCATCCCAGTATTTGTGTTAAACTAGGCTTCAGTCTGTATCTCTGAAGAGACCCGGATAAAACTGATGATTTTGAGCTGGGCCAGGTCCAGAGGCAGCAGAGACCCAGATCCTGAGGCTCCCTCCACCATGCTCCACCTATGGGAGGATGTTTTCATGTTGGTCTTTCATGCTCTGAGCTTCATCTGTGTTGAGCTGCTGGAGTCTCAGCTGGACATTGTGTCACTTAATTATCTCTGTCTATAGACAGTCTATGGACTGATGAAGCTCTAAACAGAGCTTCATCATCTCTTCTTCATCCTCAGTTCCTGAGATCTTTGTTGTGAGGCCTGGTTCACATGAGCTGATGTTTCTCTAAATGTCAGAGTGTTGTCAAAGTGTCTCTAAGCCAAACCTCCAATCTGGTTTCACTGACTGACTCCAGGTCTGATAAGTCCTGACTGCAGTTAGCTTCTGTTCCAGCTACACTCTGAATGTTTGAATCTTGTGTGGTATCTTGGCTGAGATATGAGTACAGGACGGAAATGTTATGGAGGATGCTCTAGGAGTGAAGGCCAGGTGCAAGAAGAGGGGGAGTACCTCTTCTGTTCCTCTCTCCCCTACATTGTTCAATGTTGACATTTGTATAACTTGACAAGTTTTATGTTATCCTCTAACTCTACTCAGAGAATGACCATGTATGGACATAAATGTTGGTTCTGCTCTTCTATAGGCTATTAGGATTTAGCTATGATGTATTAAGAGAATATTCAGCCTATAAATTGTATGGGCTTGGGACAAACGAGAGGAGATCCTTTTTGGCTTTGGGTCCTCTCACAGGGTGTTTTTGATGCTTGTTCAACGATGCTGTGCCTTTTTGTAATAAACCTTTTTATATACAACTGAGCCGGTGTCAGCAGAGATTCCTTCATCATCATCACATCATTGCAAGAGAAGAAACAACACTTGTTTTCAATACGGACGACAAGACCAGACTCTTTTGGACCCCACTGTATATACGATGGGGTTTTGAATGTTTTTGAGTCATCCAGTCAAGGTTTGTTTCTTTTGGTAATGGTTGTTACATATGCTTGTCAAACACTACCAGAATCCCTTTGAATCACAAGGTCTTTACATTTTTAGAAAACATTCATTCTGTTGACAGGTGAACAGTGATAACAGAGACATGACTCCACCTTCCTCTTGATGTTCTCCAGCAGGTCGTCCTGTCCATGCTTGAAGTAGGGGTGCTGAAACTCCACTGGACCATCTCTCTCCTGTTTTACAATGCCTGTGTCAATGTGCATGACTTTACGGAATCCATCTGCACGGACACACACACACAGGAATAAACATAGGAACAAACATAGGAACATAGGAAAAAGTGGTAAAGAATGTTTACACACAGATTACAGTGAGTAAGGACCAGAGATGTACATGCATACTGACATTCTTTTATGGTCTTTTTACTTGTATTTTAAAATAAACTCTCCAAAGTGACAATCTGACACAGTGCCAACGATGACTGCAGGTGTTTTGGACTGGACTGAATTGCATGCTACAGTTGTTACTAATTTTCTTGGTATTTCAAATCACCGGCAATTTTATTAGGTGCAACTGTTCAACTGCTCATTAACGCAAATATCTAATAGACCAATCACATGGCAGCAACTCAATGCATTTAGGCATGTAGATATGGTCAAGATGATCTGCTGAAGTTCAAACCGAGCATCAGAATGTGGAAGACATGTCATTTAAGTGACTGAATGTGACATGGTTGTTGGTGCCAGACAGGCTGGTCTGAGTATTTCAGAAACTGCAGATCTACTGGGATTTTCAGGCACAGCCATCTCTAGGGTTTACAGAAAATGGTCTGAAAAAGAGCAAATATCCAGTGAGTGGTAGTTCTCTGGGCGTTCTTCTGCTACGACATTCGGATGGTAGGGTCAGAATTTGGCATAAATAACATTAAAGCATGGATCCATCCTGCCTTGCATCAATGGTTCAAGCTGGTGGTGGTGGTGTAATGGTGTGGGGGATATTTTCTTGGCACACTTTGGGCCCCTTAGTACCAATTGAGCATTGTTTAAACGCCGCAGCCTACCTGAGTATTGTTGCTGACCATGTCCATCCTTTATGACCACAGTGTACCGATCTTCTGATGGCTTCTTCCAGCAGGATAACGTGCCATGTCACAAAGCTCAAATCATCTCAAATGGCCTCCACAGTCACCAGATCTCAATCCAACAGTCCACCTTTGAGATGTGGTGGAACGGGACATTCGCATCATGGATGTGCAGCTCACAACGTGATGCTATAATGTCAATATGGACCAAAACCTCTGAGGAATGTTTCCAGCACCTTGTTGAATCTATGCCACAAAGACTTAAGGCAGTTCTGATGGCAAAAGGGCATCCAACCAGGTACTAGCAAGGTGTACCTAATAAAGTGGCCGGTGAGTGTATATATATGTACATATGCGTATAGTACAATAATAAAAAAACAATTAAAAAAAATTTAAAAAATTACATTTACTGTGACAGAGGATTTTATCCTTATTGTTCAGTCCTTCGTGGAATCACATGTGACTTTGGTCTCAAAGCAATTCATCAATTTGAACATATACCAGTGTCAGAAAATATCATCCATATTGCCAAGTGCTGGTCCTCCTCTAAATAAAATCACTATTAATCCCATAATTAACACCAAAACAGAGATCCAGCACAGTCGGTCTCCTGCTGCTGAAAACAGAGTAACTATGACCAACAGCTCATGTTTACACTGTGCCTTGTGGTTACCATAGCATTTTGCCCGTGCACCTATTCATCTGTTTAACACATTGTGCCAAATATTTGTTTGTGCCAGCTTCTAAACAGTCAGAAGATTGCACTTTCCTTTGTCTATGTAACAGTAAACTGAATATATCTGGGGTTTGGATTCTTGGGTGAATTACACAGGGTGTCTGACCACATCACCTTGGGCTATGGGAAGTTATAATGACGGTTTTCCTCTATTTCATGGGTTTACTGGGTTAAGCATCACTATGTACCAGCCACCTGAGTTATTAGTGTTGCCCAAATCAAGCAGCCCTACCCAGCACACAGCAAACAGTCTGGGTCACTCTACAACCACTGCACAATACTGACTGAGAGGGTGATGAATGCAGTCTTACACATATTTAGCTGCCTGATGAAACTGGCCATGTTGTTGTGCTTGAAGTACTTGGGGAGGATCTCCTTGGCAAAGCGCTGCTCGTCCAACACCATGAAGCTGTTGCCCTCCTGGAAACAGTCAGCACCACACATTCACCACTGGACATATTGTATGTTAGTGCGTTATTAACCCCCATGCCCCCGAAACTGTGCACACGCGCTTGCCCAGGCGGCTTTACAGTGACAGTGTCCAAAACTCAAAGATGAAGTGATGCTGGCATGACGCAGAAACTACAACTGGTTTGGTATGCTAGCTATCAAGCAGGTAGACAATGAAGGAAAATGACTTGCTAACTGAGCTAACAGCTGATGGCTGGCCTCAGCTAATGCTTGCATATCGTTCTGTATGCCGAAACGTGTAGTTATGAGGCGTGTGTATGCGTGGGCGATGAACTCCTATCTGTCAACAGTTATATGTTAAATTAAGGCTAATCTGACTAGCTCGCTAGTTGTTTGCTAGACGTTAGCTTTCAGACCTGACATGCTAACGGTACACAGTTTAGCATTACCTGACTCCAGCAAATGAATTCATTTGTGTCTGCATCCTCCACCAGCGTCCACAGCTTGGTAAGGAATGCCGGGACGTTCGAGTTGTGCTTCATCTCTCCAATGTTACAACAGATACGCCTAGACCAAAACTGCGCAGTGATCGCTCTGTTCCGCAGCCTGTGTGGAAAACTGCACGACTCTGTCGCCTTCAGGAAAACGCCAATGGCTTACAACTTCCGGTCCCAGTCCACGGGAGCAGATTGGTCTAGAATTGGTTTACGTAAGACTCCTCACGTGGACTTCCATGCAAACAAAAATAAGTTTGGCACGTTTTAACCCACGTACGTTTGTCCTGTTTGGCGCCAAGGCTTTCTCCCAGAAAGGTTGGTTAAGGTTGTAAAAAGGGTTTAACCCAAACCATGATGTTTTTCTAAACGTAATCAAGTAGTTTTGTTGCCAAACCTAACCAAACTCCGAACAGCTCTGAAGGCACAGGTCAGAGGCCTACACTATGAAGCAAGTTCAACATACCTATGTTAACTTTCTGTTATCTGGCTTGACTAAACCTAACAATCGCAATCAAGTGGTCACACGACGGTGGTAATCAACTCTATGACTCAACCCAGGTTTTCCTGATGAAGACATCGTAAGGGGCGGTGTTTGCAGCGGTGTTTTCAGCATATGACCAATCGGCAATTTGGAGAGGTCGACTGGCAGAACTGCATTTTTCACAATTGAAGAGCAAACCATTATCTTACATAAATATACAACAATATTATACAGGCTACTGTATAAGCAACACTGTTGTAGCTGCCGAAAGCAGGAGGGAGAGCTGCCAAAAAATCGCCGATTGTGTGAATGCGTGAATTAATGACATTTACAATACACAATTACAATAAACTATTATGTTGTATAGATGTATTCTTATAGTGTGTATGATAGTTTTAGCCTTAACCCCGACAGGGTCAAAATGACATGAGAACAAATAAAAAATATAAGTATATACATATTACAAAGTCATGAGTATGCTTACCTTAATATCTTTTTACGTACAACAAGTTGGGGTGCAGTACTTCAGTCAGGCTCTGTTATAAGATAAAATCTGCAGTGTATAAAATTAGCATACAATGAAATGACTTTGACATTGTTGCAGCAATAAGAAAGGCAGGAGGGGTTCCTCCTACACAGAGGTATACTCCTGCTGAGGAGCTGGCACTTGGCAATAATGAGGGTTGCTCCCTAACGCAAGGGGGTGTCTACTCAGACCCTGGTGAGGGTGGCCGCCCTCAACAGGCCACATTTGTACAGGGTATGTGTCAATGAGTGAATATTAAACTGCTGGGTTGCTAATAAAACACAACTACATTATACTAACCAGTGTGGGAATAACATGTATGTACCTTCTCTACAGCTGACGGGGAAACACTGGTGTTGCTGCCACCACCCTAATACACACTGTCCCATACAGAGGTAACAATGCACGCAACTTACACTGGCATGTCATATGTGGTGGCTGTTCATGGATTAAATAAACCATTTAGATGTTTTATTTTCTAAGGTGGAGGCCCTTGATGATGAGAAAGTGTCTGTGCTCTGAGGGAGTTTTGGGGGTAACTTTACTCCTTTGTTACCACTGTCATGCAGTTTTCATTTTGTCCATCTTAACACAGTTGGCGAGAGTGTGGACACTTATTGATTTTATCTTTATGTACTTACTAATGGTGGTGGTCTGCAGTACATGGGACTGATAATGGCTTCAGGTGTTTTCTAAAATGAATCAGTTGCTAAGAGCTTAATTTTGTAGGAAGAGGAGCCTGTGGTTTCCCCCTCCTGGCCAAGAGGATCACAAGTGGGAATGAATTAGCCCTAATGTAAACAGGTACAAAAAACTTGACATTGAATATAAAAAAACTTGACATTGATTATAAAAGACGGCAATTAAAAAAAGTCAAACTGGAGGTGGAGAAATTGGAGCACGAAAAGAAGGTAATTCAGTCATGTAATTTATTTACAGGCATGGGGAACAATTCAATTAAAATGTAATTTAAACAACAAATAAACAACAAATGCCCTTGTTTCTTAAGTACAACTCAAAAGACAATGGCCTCTGTTTCTCATGTAAAACTCAAAAGAAAATGCTGCTGTTTCTTAGGAAAAAATTGCTGTGTGATGGCCTCTCTAATAGCCTTGCCAGTGGGATGGTCCAGGGTGATGGGGTCCACCACATCAGGGGGCTGCTGACTCACAGGAGCAGCCCTCTCTCTCCTTATTGTGGCTATATTGTGGAGGACAACACATGCTACAGTGATTCTGCATGTCTGAGCTAGAGCTACTCAGAGCCCATGGAGGCATGTGAATCTGGCCTTCAGTAATCCAAATGTCATTTCTATCCTGACCCTGGTTTTGGTAAGGGTCACATTTAATCTATTTTGTGGCCCTGGGTCAGGTGGGGGGGTCATTAAAAAGGGCTGACAGGTGTATCCCTCTCTCCAAGCAGCACTCCACTGAACAGCTCTGAAGACAAAAAAGAAAATTGCCATGAAAAATGCAGTTTAAAAAAAGATAAAATAATATGCAGTGTAGTTTCCAAGCTCTGCTCCAATCTGTGGGACAATTCAGTCTCCCTGAAGATCCAGGAGTCATGGACTGAACCAGACCACTTTGCCTCTATGCTGGTGACGATGCAGTAATGGTCATCTACAAAAGCATGTTAACACTTACACAGGACAACAGCATTAAAGTCAATGTAGCATCAGTATGCAAAAGGACTATGGTTTAGAGAAAGATAGTCCAACTGTGACACCTGTGCGGTGTCAATATTACCACATGTGCCAAAAGGGAATGGCCTTTACTTATCCAGACTACAGCATTTTCTGCAAACCAAAAGTGTTCATGCAACAAAGTTTTGTGTTACAACTGCTATCACATACACATAAAAGCACATGTTGCTCATACGTATATACCTATATACATACATACATATATTTACCAAGTAAAATACTAAATGAAAATAATAAAGTAGAATGCAATCTCAAACTTAAGGTAAGATATTGCTAATAATATGCAAATGGTATTGTAAGATTTACCTGAACGTTGAGGCTATGGAACGACTTCCGATTCACATTTAAAACACAACAGTATATGTATGAGGGTCTGCATTGCTCATGGATGAAGTAGTCACATAGATCAATGTCTACCTGCTATCTTATAAAAGCACTAATGGGGCATCGTGTAGCGCAGTGGGTTACGCAGGCGCCCCATATATAGAGGCTACAGTCCTCGCTGCAGCTGGCCCCCAGTTGGACTCCTGCATCGGACGGCCCTTTCCTGCATGTCATTCCCCCTCTCTCTGCCTCCCCATTTCCTGTCTCTCTACTGTCCTGTCCATTAAAGGCACAAAAAGCCCAAAAAATTCTAAAAAAAATAAATAAATAAATAAAATAGACTGCATGGGAAAAATGTTCAGGGAACACAACAAAGGCCTTCAGCAGCTCTGTAATAGCATGTGCCACCTTATGTATTACCCTACAGACTGTGTTTTTGCTGAGGCTTTCTGTATTGCCCACAGCATACATAAAGGTACCAGAGGCTAAATAACGCAAGGCAATGCATATAGTGTGTGGGACTGTAAGTGCATTGCTCCTACATGTCGCACTAGTGATGTATGGCTCAAGAAATATACAAATATAAGTCAACCCCTCTGATGAGAAGTGGTATCTCTCATAGAGGTGATCACCAGGAAAAGCAAAAGGATTTTGCCAGTCTCTGAACACTCTTGCCCTCCCAAGAGACCCTGTCATGATCCGCGCACCGAGTTCTATCGGATCCTTCACGAACGGTGATACCATGTTTCAAGAGAATTGATTGGTTAGTAGACGGGACTTTTAAAGGCGTTGACCTGTTATCTCGAACTTACCATGGTGATTTACCCCAGTAAGAAGTGAACCACAGTCGTAGGACTGAAAACCTAGAGTTACACCTGAAGTTACCTCGCTGACCTAAAATCCTGCTTCATTGTACAGGCCTTTGGAACAATGACACACGCATATCATGTTTAATATGTTGACAATTGTGCATATGAAATTACAGCGTCTCCTCACCTCCATCGAGTAGCTATGTGTAAGTTTTGCTATTGCTACACAGCTAATGTTAGCATTATCAGCTGTTGACTTACCAGTCTAGAAGAGACGTTGTGAGTTCAGCATCAATCATCATTCCTTTACTTACCAACAGCTGTCTCCAGAGGTGGAAAGCAACCCTGTTGTTTTGCTTCTTTTGTCTGCTGAGGTTAGCATGCTAAGAAGCTAGCTCCTGCCTGGTTGGCCCACCTCCTCACTCTCCGATACTGAGTCATTGTAGCGTCCAGGCTGTGTTCAGAGGACATATTATAACTTGTTTTGTAACTGCAACCCAGCTCTTGGCAAGACTGGTACAGTATGTAAACAGCTGTTAATGCTAATGTTGGCTATGTATCAATAGCAAAACTTACAAATAGTTCCTTTAAGGCTCACTTCACCGTATAAGAAAAGGTCAAAAGCTAGTACTTGGCTGGACCAGGTTGTAGGCTATTGTCATCCTGCCTAGTGTCAACTGGTTTCAGTCTATGAGCTTGTTTCAGCTCTTTATTTGTTTGCTTATCTCCACTACTCTTTGCTCACATATACAGTATTTTCTGAGATGTGGCCCATTAAGACTACATGTTAACCAGCAGTCACTTCCAAGCTGCTGCTCTGCTGCTGCCGGATTTTATAACCATGACATCGTCTGACAACATCACCAAACACATCAGTTAAGGACAAAGACTGAGCTGCAATCTCAGTGTAACAGGGTGTGGTAGGACCCAATTGCAGCACAACCAAACAGTTGAATAGTTGGTAAGACTTTTATTAATTAACCTTCAGATATATTGCACACAGGTGGGTATTGGGGATAAAGGAAGGTGGCCGGGGCTGGAGATGCCATGTTGTAGAGCAGGTGAGTGGAGAGGATTGGGGAGGCTCACACACACTGGGACGAGTTGGTAGTAAGGGAACGGTACCATAAGAGAGGAGGCTGGAGACGTAGTCGAGGGTGCAGGAGGATCAGAACCAGGTGTACAGTCAGTGGGGCAGACGAACCAGGAAGGAGCAGGCAGGCGGGTAATCATAGCCAGACGAAGGATTGGGAAACCAGCAGGGAAGCACTCATGTTGTGACGTCGGAGCTGGAGAACACCAAACAGCAACAGCGACAG